CGCATAAGTTGAAAACATACCCAGACAGCACACAATAGCATAATTCTTATATGTATCTCTTGTAGCAATATTTCCAAATGTATACAATAAGTTATACAACTACATTAGGAAGCTGTGGTAATATATCCACAATATCTCCACAAATAGATACACAATGGTTAAACGTCCGCCTCACAATGTATCCACCAGATAATCCTTACATATGCAAAATGTAGCCACATCAGAGATGTGTCACATAATAATGTTGACACAACATCAGAAGCTTACACTGTGTATATGTTTATCTACAGTATATGAGCAACATTATATTAATGTTGGCACAATATCAGAAGCTTGTACCGTGTATATGTTTATCTACAGTATATGTGCAACATTTTATTAATGTGAGCACATACTTTATAGCATACATTACCACAATAAAATAGTGCTTACATTTACACAAAGGCAACATACGGTTAATGTTCCATACATTAGAATTTGACATTGTGTATATACAATGAAGTTCTTGTAAGATAATCATATATATATGTACAATCTTCCTATGTATACTTGTTAATGAACCAAGTCAAACTTAAAGCAGAGGCTACTAGAAGTACATAAACTTACAAACTTTGAACGTCATTTGTTAAAGTGTTGTAAGTTTGACTTGGTCCATTAGCAAGCATACATATACAATTGTACGTATGTGTTCTCTTAAAAGAACTTCACTGTATGTTGTACCTACAAATAATAATTGTGGACTGATGGAGATAATGTGGACATATTCTACTGAACTAATAATGTATAAGTGATTGTTCCTGTTTGTTGGTTTTTTCTTTCTTATTACTTTTTGTACATACCTTTGTACATGGAAAAGGATGATAAACATACAAAAAATAAAAATGGTATATACGCCTAAACAATGTATTTTTATTTACCTACTTTAATTACAGGTACAATACATTATACTACATGTCATTTATTGTTTTCCGCCGCCCTCTTTTCTGCCATTTTTTTTCGTTTAAGCTCTTTACTTTCACCCATGCGGGTCTTAGCCTGCCGTAGCCACTCTCCAATGGCAGCTTCCGACTGGGCCCTATCTAGTTCCAAGTTTGATAGTTTTGCCTTAGGCTTCATGGCTTCTAAATAAAAAAAGATTTAGTGATTTTCCTTTACTATTCTAGTTTGTTTCAATATTTCTACTTGTTATCATCACAATCATAAATGAAAACATACCAAATGTTACCATTAGGAGTTCTGGATATTTTTTTAACCCTTCCTTTTTAGGGGTGTTTGCATTTAGATGCCGCCCACACATATTTAAACCCACTGCTAATTCGTTTGTCATAATTCTGCACAAAATATGTCCAACAACTTTATGCAATTCTTGTTTTACTGTTTTTGAATCTAGGTTTTGTATATTTGGTATGGGACATGAGTCCATCATGTAACTTTGCTGTAATGAAATATACAAATAACAAAATGAGTACAATCATGTGATGTGAATTGATTCATTAGTCATTTGTTTCAAAAATCTGTTAGCATAATTAAAGTCAATGAAGTGATAATTTGTTGTACTTACCAGATACTTGAAATAAGTACTATTCTTCTTCAAGGTGTTATTCAGGTGTTCCAATTCTTCCATTGTGTTAATGGGAAGGGGTACTAGATCTTTCATTTTAGCCCAATCCTGATGGTTACCCTCAATTGTACATTTAACATCTAGTTTCGCATTTATTGATTCCAATAAATTCTCTAATTTTATAAGTCTATTTCTATTTTCAACAGTCAGGTCTAACAATCGGAGGAAACAAGCTGGAAATTAAATAAAAAAAGTAAATATAAGTTTAGTAAATGTGGCAATTTACAACCTTTATTAAATTCGTCTTTGTTGTCTCCAGTGGCATTATGGAACAAGTCCATGTTTTCTAAATCAATTTCAACCCCAACAGGAACTCCTAAAATTCGTTAAAGAAATTTAATAATTTAATAACAATTATTTTCTATCATTTCTATTTTTTTACTTTTATTCCCTTTAAAAAGTGTATTAATGTTTAATAATAATAAAATAAGCTTATTAGCCAACTACAATACACATTTATACAAATTAAAAATAAAAATAAAGTTTTTGTGATACATTAATTTAAAAAAGAAATTAAAAAATTTAAATAAGATGGCTAAAAGTTCAGATTATGTAGCAATACAGCTGGTCTTCCACTTATATCTCTGCTCTTCCACTTAAGAATAAAATCAAATTTCAACAGAACATTCTGACTTAATTTATGGTCAGTTTGATGCTCATTGTGTAGTGGCTTGTATGCTATTTGGTTTTTAAATTTGTTCCAAATTCAACAAAAAAGTATAATACATTATCGAAAAGATTTCTATTTAATGTATGAAAGACACAATTTTACCTGGCGGGATCAATGGAGTATTTTGGTGTGGGGTTGCAGTGACAGCAGCATCTTCTATTTCATTCAAAGTAATCTCAGTCAACTGATCTTGATTAACATCAGTCTCTACCAGGATACAGGGAGAACTGAACTCGATACTTCTGAAAATGTTAATAAATAAAAAAAACGGCAACCTAGATCAAATATAAGTACCCAGAATTTTCGGACAAAGCATCATGTTTTCCATTTGTCATGGTCCCACCATCATGACTATCTCGATGACTATCTATCACTATAGTTTTACATTGATCTAAAATTTAATAAATAATTTACTAGATATTTTACACAGTTACAAAACGTACGTACTACCTGATTGTGGGACAGTAGGATTGCAAAGTGGAATTCTTACATTTCTGATGTGTTCATGATTGTGTGCTTGATCTGAGACACTCTCGCTCCATAATGTCTCTTCAAGATTTGCAGTGGGAACGTCGTTTTCATTCGCAGTAGATATAGTTGGCTGAACAACATTACGGTATTCTTCTTGAACATATGCGGGAGGTGAAGGAATATTGTGTGTTTCTGCGAATGTTAAGGCATTTCATTATAACAAATCTTAACTTTGAAAAGATGTTCACCTAAAGGTTTCTTTTTGAAAACCTTTTGTTTTTGACTGTTCATAGTACCACGTTTATTAAGTACTACCGATGTATTTGTTGTACCGAGCCCTAAAAATTTTATATCAGAAGTTTATCAAAAACAATATGTGAGATGCCTTCTTCAAGATCACTGTCCGTTTCATAAGCGGTTGTTGAGTCACTAGGCCATTTTTTCTTGTGAATCTTAGTACGCCTTTCTTTATATTTACCTTGTACAATGTAATTGTCAAGATCACTGAAAGGATATGCTTCCGCTTTTACCTCTTCTTGTCTAGCCTCCAAATAAGTCTCTATAAAAGAGAAGGAAAATAACACAATTCAGTATGTTATATCTTACCAAATATTGTATCCAACACAAAATTAATGGGCCATTTAACCCACGTTTCTGGATCCGGTAAAGAATTTTCCATTTTAGCTTTCCGGATATGATGAGTAGAAGTTGGTGGTATATATGCAAATATGTAACTTTGCACTATTTTTTTTACATCACCATTTTTTTCAGTTGCAGGACAAATAAAACATGTCGTTGATTCCTGCAACCAATACCCCGGTATGGCTTCTATGGTCATACTTTCTATTTCTTTAAATGGAAGAAATTCAGCCACAACAAACTTGCCCTTGGCATGTTGTAATAGGTCTGGTTTTAGTTTTCTAGTAGTCACAGGTACATCTGATACACTACCCATCCTATAAGAAAGTTGGTAGAAGTATTCATTATTTATGCAAAAAATGAGTGATTTGTTAAGTGACGGAAGACATTAACATCAACTTCACATCATATGTGTAAGTTTGTCATCATATTTAGTATCAATATCATCATAATCATCAATTATGAACGCACTTTACATTAAAAACTATCAAGGAAACTGAAACTATATGACTAATAAGAATACCAATTTGGAAAAATTTACATTAAGTCGTAAGATTACTTTTACCAGAGACTGTCCCATGTAAAACTACAAATAAAAGTGCCTACAAGCATGTTGTAATAATTATATTCTATAATCTGGATTTATAAAACCCCTAAACGTATACTACTTAAGCAAAAATAACAACAAATTTTATACAGGGTGTGACACACAAGTATGCCATAAAAAAATTGGGTGACAGAGGGGACCAAAACAAGTATTTTTTCCAAATAAAGTCAGGGTTGGAAACGCTTCGTGTGGGAGCTACCCTTAAGAAAGTGTTGAAATTTGAATTTCTATTTAAATTTTTTTCTCAACAACCATAAAACATACAAAGATGGTCGGCGCGGCTTTGGATAGGTTTTCGGGTATGCCCTTTTTTTACAAAAAAATTTCAAAAATTCCAACCCCAAGAGGACAAACCCCTAAATAGGGGTGCGAAGAAAAATCTGATCTTGACGAAATTTGGTGTGTAGGGGTTTTCAAGCATGATAATGAGGAATCAACAATTATTTTTGGAAAATTCGAAAAAAATTTTCTGAGTGCAATTCTTGCGCGAAACACGAAAATCATCAGAATTGCATGAAATCGAATCATGTAGGCCCACAGTAGGTGTTCGTGCGGCGGCGGAGCAATACTAAAACGCGTATCACTTTTTTTTTGAAAAGTGATACGCAAAAACTGTTCGACAGTTTTGTTCTTGCGCTCATATTGATTGTACACAGAAAATTTCATGCAATTCTGATGATTTTCGTGTTTCGCGCAAGAATTGCAATCGGACATTTTTTTTCGAATTTTCTAAAAATAATTGTTGATTCCATTATCATGTTTGAAAACCCCTACACACCAAATTTCGTCTACATCAGATTTTTTTTCGCAACCCCCATTTAGGGGTTTGTCCTCTTGGGTTGGGAATTTTTGAAATATTTTTGCAAAATCGGAAAGGGCATACCTATCCAAAGCCGCGCCGACCATCTTTGTATGTTTTATGGTTGTTGAGAAAAAAATTAAAATAGAAATGCAAATCTCAACCCTTTCTTAAGAGTAGCTCCCATACGAAGCGTTTCCGACCCTCACTTTATTTGGAAAACATACTTGTTTTGGTCACCTCTATCACCCAATTTTTTTATGGCATACTTATGTGTTACACCCTGTATAACTACATACCGCTGATATCTCTTTAAATCAAAGCTGCACATTTTACCATTTTTAAAAAGCTAATGATGAATTAGTTCTACTACATATCTAGATTCATCGCCCTCATCCACAGTAAGAGGTATCATCATCGCCTTGCTTTTTATATCTTTCACGGCATATAATGATGCCTGTGACATGCTTTTTGCTAAATATATTCCAAGTCTGCCAGATGGTTCAGGTTTAGTATAAAAATTATCCAAAACCCGAAATTTTCTACCATAGAAAAACAATTCTCCATTTTCATTGGTTGTAATAAAATCGACAACACAAACATCTTTAGTCTCCAAAATGACACAATTATCAGGTCTTTTTATAGAGACTTTAAACCCATTAATGGTAATGTAATTGTAGCTAGGAGCCGTTAATCCTATTGGATAGATAGTAAAACCGTGGTGAATCTTGCTTTTGTGCAACAGAATACCAGTTTGAGGAGCATTGATTTCTTCAAAGGAACATCCATCACAGAGGTTTCTTTCATAAATACGTCTCACTAATTGCTGTAAAGGCTTATCGTGTTTCCGAAGTAACTTTTTTAATTCCTGCAATTTGTTTTCGAATTTAAAGGCACTAAATTTATCTAGTGGCCCAAATTTCTCAACATCGTCCGCCAAATGCAATAGGCCATGTACATTGTAAGAGATATTATGATCACCATAAAGTGAACCAAAGTTTGAAACGAAATATTTTAATAAAACACTGGCATACTGCAGCATTGAAGAACTGTAGTTTTGAGAGACCAGTATTCGAATCGCAAAATGAAAAGATAAAAAATGCTTATATACTTCAGGCTTTACAATTTTAGCAAAAACCAATGGACTTGTATACAAAAGTATCTGTCTAAATTCTGTTGCTTTCCAGCGTAAAATTTCCGTAAGAGATCGTGGTTTTCGTACAAATTCAGATGGAATGTATGGACGAATACTAATCAATTTATTACTAATTTGGGATGATAAATTAGTGGAAAGTCTAACATTATAGCTGTCACCTTTCAAAAAACTAAACAGAATTTTGCGCATCACACCAAGACATACGAGATGCATGTACTCAAAGGGAAAGTGATTTACCATGTTTATACCTGGAATTTGAAGTAAAGGTGATAGGGAATCCTTCAAATGGTGATTTTCGTCAGTTTTATTAATGAAATTTTCATGAGTTCTTGCTACAGCCTCAAATTCGTCAAATGTTACACGGCCTGCAACCCAACGCCCTTTAATCTCACATTTACTACAGCACCAATACCCAGTGTGACCTTTAATTTGAGCCACATATGAACGAGCTGGTGCATCACACACGTAACAATCAACAATAACATTATATTTATTGTCCAAATGTACTAGTCCATAAGTAACAAGTTCAACTAATTCTGTAACATAATCAGATAAATAAGAAGAACAGGATTCTGGCTTGCCGTCTCCATGAAATATACCAACGGTCATTGGAGAAATTTGTGGATAATCAGAAAAAGCCATTAGAATGGGCCAAATATTACTGTTTGAACTTCTTGAAATTGGAAGGCCGTCAATATTACATTGCAACTTCAAGTCCTTTGCAAAACCAATTGCTGAATATGAATCGAGAATGTGAATAATAGATTTTTTAATCCCTAAATGACAATATTCTCCTGATCCTATTTTTTTAATTTTCGTAGTGCGAGGTGTCTTTAGTAAGGTTCTTGCATCAGAAGGTAATGATGAAAAACAATGATGGGTCTTTAATAGTTTAAGTAATTCATTAACACGTGCAAGTGGTACTGAACCATTATTTGCCCATTCAGAAAGTGAAACAGAAAATGTATTTATATTAAATGTTTCTGTTTGTTCAGTATCGGATTCATCTGTGTCAGATTCTGGCTCTATGATTTCAATATTACTTTCTGTTATCGTATCATCAATAAAATTTTCTATATTTTCCTCGTATGCTACAGGTTCAATCAAAGGAGCAACCAAAGACACTGATACATTCTCATGAAATTCCACAACAGGGACTGATGCCAATAAGTGACTATCAGGCTCTTCTATTTGACGGTTACCATCTATAGGATCTTTATTCTCAGCACTATTTTTTGCAGAAGTATTTAATCTGCGCCTACGCTGTCTAGCGGATAATGCACTAAACGGTTTATAGTTTTGTTTAGGCATTGTCTAATTCTGAATGAAAGGTAATTATAATTTAACTTATGTAGCATAAAAAAACTAAAATAGTCTCATTTTGAGAGCAGAAAATACAACAAATTATTGTACCTATCAAAAACATTCATAAACTACCTATAATAATTATTTACGGTACACTTACCTTTTCTTATACCTTACCTATTCTATACTAAGTTGTTACGATTAAACGAAATATCTACCAATTCTTTAATTAGGCGCCTTAGATTACCTATACAAACCCCCTGTATATAGGTATTATGTGATAAACCTGTAAATAGACCTATATATAGTTACGTGTTACATATACAACTGAAAGTAAACTTACCTGGCGGTAACAACAAAATGCACAATTGAAAACTATTAATCTGTAAAACAAACGTGTTTAGCGATAAACTTTACGTACACAAGAAGTTTTATTAAGGTTATGTACATGAATTAGCGGGAACGCCGTAAATTTACCAAATGCACGCGCCACGCAGCATGCGCATTGTAAAGTATATACATGGTGGCACAAAACTTATTTCCATATGTTAGAAAGTCCGGTTATATCTATCCAATGGCTTTACAGATACTTTTTAGGAATATATACATAACGGATCATTTTTATATTTAACTGATGTTTGTGTACGCACTTCGGAAAAACCTTTCTACTTCCATGCTACAATGTCAAATATAAGCATTAATGTAAACACAATGCATATACTTCGTAGAACCGTTTGTATAAGGGACCACGTTTACATTAATCTAATAATAGGCATATAATGTAGACCCTTTGAAAAAACGTTTCTACTCCCATGCCAAAGTGGCACAGGCAAGCATTTTTTGTAAACACATTGTGATTATGATATTTCAACAGATACAAATAAATAGTTATGTACACTGTTAAAACGCGATTTTTTCAAGAGGGAAAAGCATCTTTTACATTGCACCATAGGTATACTTACTCGTACACAGTCTATAATTTATTGGCGCCGATGGTAAACTAAAAACTAAAGTAAGTATATCTATGTAATGCGTTTTAATTATCATACCTACATAATTTATACCCACCTTGTGAAAACGTAAAGATAAAATGATCCGTCATGTATGATAAATTTACATTAAAAATAAGTTAAAATACTGCCACTGTTCTAATGTTTCCAATAGTTTAAACCAATGGTCCATATTTACATTTATCTGATTACGATGTACCTACGTAATATTAATAGTTTACATAACGGGCCAGATTTACATTTATCTATTGGGTTTTTACATACGTTGGAAATCCGTATATATAAAGGACCACGTCTACATTTGTTAAATGGATATGTGTATACATTTAGAAAACGTTTCTATTTTATAGGACACATGGGCTACACAGAACTATTAGTGTGGACACTATTTAAATATTTTGTAAAACTGTTTGTAATATGGACCACGAATACATTTATCCGATGTGTATGTTTTTACATTTGAAAAACGTTAAAATTTCCAGACCACAGCGTCATATGTAAGCATTGCCGCAAACACATTGTGGTTATAATTTTTCAACAGCTACAATCGATTAATACTAGGGGACACAAATACATTTTTGTAAGGCTTAATATTATACATTATAATAATGTTAGTACAATTTGGTGTGCTGTATGGGTAGGTACTTCATTTAGGTATACTTACACTATATGTTATGAAGTGATGATTCTTGTGGAGTTTATAGGTGCACCACTCCCACTCGTAATTCGTATATGAAACACAATTTTTACACGAACTTATGTGTATGAACGCAATTACCCTTCATGTGTGGGAATGGTGAAGGAAAGAGAAATGCGCTGCGCAGTGAGTTGCGAATTGCTTGAATCGCTTTATAGCTTAAGTCAACATGCAAAGTTATTGACTCAAAGAATAACTTGTTAAACCAATTGCCTTAAACTTTTCCATCACATGCAAAGTTCTTCAGCATACAAATACTAATTTTCGAATTAAACGTGTAGGTTGTAAAAATGAATAAACAAAGGTTGTATATAGAACAATTAACTTATTTTAATATCATATATCTCATACATTGAAGTATCCTTTCAGCGTCTTTTGAAATGATAAAAAACAAATACTTTGCTTTATATGTAATACATGTTGAATTAAAAACGTGAACTGCTTCTTTTTGGTTATGATAAAACATAAATATTGAATCAATTAACTATTCTTTACATAAATGAAATGTTAAATTAAAATGTAGTATGTACTTATACCAAAATATTTTAGGTTGATTTAATAAGAAATTGTGTAACATCTTTGGGGTTATTGCACCAACAAATTCATTTTTCTCAGTGTAGTTTCGATCTTCTCCTCCAGTTCTTTCGTGTATGGGGTACTAGTTAAAACAACTGCTGACTGACTTTGTTTTCTTTTCTTCAGTCCTTCGCGATGTTGAGGAAGTGGAAGGATGTTTAGCACAGATGCATCGTTCTCGTCGGGTAGAGTCTCTTGATCAATGGGCAGTTGTTCAGGTTCCGGAGTCGACTCTTGCCTTCTTATGGTGTCATCTAACAAAGCTTCTGCGGGAGCAAAGTCACCTACACTGAACACGTGGCGATTTACTGGCCATATACCGGCAGCTCGGAAACCATTAACAAAGGTATTAATAGTTGCAGCCCTTGAATAAGCTTCACACAGCAATGCTGTCATGTTATATTGGGAAATAGCCTTTCCAGGATTATTTCTTAGCCATTTTTCCACCTCTTGGGTGAAATAGGATTCCATTGGTTTAAAGAAGCTCACATCCAAGGGCTGTAAACGATGAGTCGTATGGCCCGGAAGCTGTAAGATCACCACTCCATTTTCTTTCGCCAGCTCTAACGCTTTCAAGTTTTTTGAATGGGTTGTGTGCCCATCAAGCAGTAACAAAACCTTATTGTCAATGGTAGGTTTTATTGTTTTTATGAAATGTTGCAGCCATTGTACAAATAGCTCAGAATTGATATAACCTGAGTCCGAAATTGTTACTATTGACCCGGGTAACGATCCAATCATCAGTTCGTTTGCCATTCTTTTGCGCTTGAATATTATCATAGGGGGTACACACTGCCCTGCACCGCTAGAGCAACAAACTACGGTCGTATTCACCCCACGTTCTCCACTAGACACACCACCAACTTGTTTCTTTCCTTTTGCCGCGATGATTTTTTGATTTTTTTTTGAACCGTGGAAAATCCACTTTCATCAACGTTGAACATTGTTACAGCAGTAAATCCATGCTCATCCACCAACTTCTCCAGAATATCAAAAAACTTGTAAACATTTTCCTTATTAAATCCGCAAACTCTACTCAATGAGACCTTTTCAGGCTGCCTAAGAGATAAATTGGGGTGTCGCTTCATAAAGCCATAGTACCAAGCTTTCCCCGCTAGACCCTTTTCCTTATTGAAATTGTGAGCTACACCTTTTTTTTCAGCTAACTCAAATGCTAAGCGTCGCACGTCATGAATAGTTACCCCAAACATGAGATTTTCCAGTTTGAGGAGGTATTGAGTAAGTTCCTCTTCAATTTCAAAGGTAAAAACTGTGAGGCGGCCAATGTGTTGAATGTGCTCATTAGCTTTCCTATTTTTTGAATTCAAATGCCTTTTAAACGTTGGCTTTGGAATATTGAATTGCCGGCAACATTCATTGAGTCCTATTTTATTTTCCCTGTACGCCTTTAAAGCATGTTCCATATCTGCTTCGGTCCACTGGTTATATTTGCGTTTTTGAGCCATTAATGTTGTTCTACAACAATATAAAAAACATTCAGAACCGATCAAATATAAAAAACGCGCGAAAATCGGACAGTGCGGTAAATCGTACCGGTACGATTTATAAAACTACTTGGGGTACGATTTAACGGATCTATTCCTTCTTGGTATTTATAGTAACAATAAATCAAATTCAAACATTTACAAGATTTTGAGATATGCCAAACCACTGAGTAGTACAGAAAATCAAATAACTATTATAATAAATATGTTTTGACTCACCTTTTGCCCAAAAACAGCTTAGATGTGGATGCACAGATTAGCAACGTTCACACTGTTTAGACACAGTACCCATTTATATCGATTTGGGCGACATCTAGGTCGGAACAAATGCTTTATGGTATTTCAAACTGTTAAAAGCATACCTTGATATGCAAAAGGTGGCGGTAAATGTTTTGCAAATATGAAAATTATTAGTGGTACGATTTAACATGCGGTACGAATTACCCTACTCTACCCTATGCGTGTTCTGGAATGATTTCCGGATTGAAAGGGAATATTCCGGTAGATCTAAAAGCGGAAGTACCATTCTTGCATGTCGCCGCTTTACCCCAAGCTTCGCTTAGTAACTGCTCGAACTGTAATCTGCCCAATTTTCTAGATGCTAGATGCATTTGTTTTTACCCAGTTGTTGCAAGCGGTTGAATATGCTGATTTTAAAGACTTAAATACTGCTCTGTCTAAGGGTTGCAGAAAATGAGTGGTATGACTAGGAAGACTAAGAATAATAATATCATTCTTTTCTGCAAATTCTAAGGCATCGATGTCACAATGAGAGGAATGGCCGTCTACAATTAAGACCACTTTTCCATCAGGTTTTCTAGGCAAAAATTGATTCTGTAGCCAGTCCTTAAAAATCTCTGCATTTATGTACGCAGATTTGGCGGACATATAAAGAAATGAGCCCGGTGGCATTCCATCTTCATATTCCGGTTTTTTCCTTTTCCCTTTCATTATACATGATGGTGGCAAGAAATTTCCTTCTGCGTTACAACACGCTATTACAGTAATAGTTTCTCCGCGTTCACCTGATGTTATGGAAGAAACAAGCTTGGATCCTTTGCTAGCAATAACGTAACCAGGATTGTTATTTAGCTGACACCCTGTTTCGTCCATGTTGTATATTCGTCCGGGCTTGTCAAACAAACTATTTTCTTCAAATATATGCTGTAACAATTTAAAAAAATCGGCCACTCTTTCTCTAGTTGTCCCTTCAGCTCTAGCTAAAGATACGCCCTCGGCTCTTCGAATTGCCAGTTCTGGATTCCGTCTTAAAAATGAATTCAGCCAGTCGTAGCCTGCCATTTCTTTTTCTTCGTTAAAATTATGGCGAATTTTCAAAGCTAACGCAAATCTATATCCATTCCAACATTCTTGTAGGTGCAAATCCTTTTGCCTGCAGTTTTTGTACGTGCTTCACAATCTTCTTTTCTTTTTCTCTGCCAAACAATGCAGAAGGACCCATGGCTGTTTTTTGGAAGTTATTCTGCGTCTTAAAGTTCGGGACGGTATTTGGAATGTCCTTGATGCCTCATTCACACCCATTGTTCCGTTATTAATTGCCTCCAGGGCATCTGATAACTGCTGACTACTCCATTTGCCTCTATCCAGGCATTTACGCTTATACTCTGTAGGCATATCTGTAAAACAACAAAAATTAGCATTTAATAACATTTTTTGTTGGGGCATCTCTACCGACAGGTAGTGGGGCATCACTCCCGATGACAAGGGAGAGATGCCCCACTTCATTATTATTTCTACCGGCGGAAACCAAAACAATGTATAGGTTAGGAACACCCAATACACTTATATACAGATATTAAATCACAGAAGTTTGAAGAAAATCGACTCTTACCTGATAAAATGTTTGACCGGCGGATACCCTGTGATAGTTTTAATGTTGCACCAGCACTTATTTTGCATTTAAATTAAACTGAATACGTTTTTACGCCCGAAGCAATAAGCACGTGAACGGTAGACGCCATACACTGCAACTGTATCAATGCTGGAGACATCTACACTTAGGGTGCGGTCGAAAACTTACTGCAAATGCATTGTTTGCCGAGAATACATAAATAAGTGGTCATAAATTTACTGACGCTTACTACATTTACTTCAACTTTAGTGAATAATTTAAAGTACGCATGCGTCAATTTTTACACCTTTTACTGTAAATGCTTCTCGAAAATAGGTGGTAAAACGACAGTAAACAAAACAGCTGATCAGTTTAAAATGGAGTTAACCTTAATTGATGCTGATACTAATAAAGAATTTAAGTTGTTCCTGAATGAAGAGGATTACAATAAGGCCGTTAATGGTAATATGCTTCAAATTACTTTGAAATTCCTAAAATGTGTTTGTAATTTACTTTTTTAGATGTCACATTTGCAACAGTACTTTTACAACATGCAATAATTAACAGTAAAGCCTCTTCTACTGTTCCCGGGAATAAGAATCCAACACGCCAATCATTGGATACTGATACTGAAACATTAGGAATTAACTGTTCACAGGAATTACCGAATGACAGTGAAGACGTACTGTTGTCCCCATCAAGTGACAATCTACTGTTGTCCCCAGCCAGTAACAATCCGTTGTCCCCATCAAGTGACAATCTATCGATACCGATTAATGAAAATGATTCGGAAAATACAGAAGGTATTGTAAAATGTATTCTATATTGAAGTAATACTTTTCGTAAATTGTAGATATTTCTGGCCGTTGGTCACACGAGGGAATATTATTATTGCTGGATGTATATCATACAAAATCAGATTTGTTGGTAAAGGGTAAAATAAAACAGAAACTGTTTTGGGAGCAGATTGCTTCTTTAATTAATAAAAAGGGATATAATGTAACAGCAAAGCAGTGCCAAACAAAACTTGCTACCCTTAAGCGACAATACAAAAAAATTAAGGACTACAATAACACTTCAGGCAACGATAGAAAGGAGTGGATTTACACAGAAGTATGTACAGTTTATTCTTATACTATGTAGTTTAGTGATATTTTAGAAAATGGATGAACTATTTGGCAATAAACCGTGGGTTGAACCTGTAGCAACAGCATCCTCTTCTCAAAACCCAGAACCATCACTTAACTTGCCTGCGACGATGCCTTCTACACCGACAAGACCTAGTCTATCAAACACACCCCAAAGTAGGTGCTTATTGTTTACATGTAAATTATTCATATCTTATTATTTAGAGACCAACTCAAAAAAAGTAGTCGACATTCTTACGAAAATTCGAGAGGACCGGGAAAGACACCACAGTGAAAGAATGGCCAAAAGCTCGGAAGCAATTGCTTTATTAAAACTCTTGGTCGAACAAATTGCAAAATAAAAATGAAAAATTTGTAGATATTTATTATAATAAAAGTGTTTTGATGTTTTACAGTGCATAAGAGTATTGTTATATTGTCAAATGTCATATGTCTTCACGGGTAGGTAATGCAGCAGCAATTGCATCACGTTTTTGTTTAGCCAATGCCTTTTCGTTTGTATCTACATTGCCATTAACTCCACATTGAGTGTTATTCTTATCGGATGTATGCAACGCTAAAGGTTGAAACTGATCATTTTTTAAAAGGCAAATATTATGTATAACACAGCATGCAATAATGTATTGTGGAATAAGGTCAGTTCTGATCATGGGAAGATTATCTAATAATCTTCTCATTCTTCCCTTAAGAAGTCCAAATGATCTTTCAATTACCATTCTGGTGGACGAGTGACAATAATTGTAGTTTTTTTGAGCTCGAGTTAGGTGACCATTGTCTTTGTAAGGCACCATCATATGCGTATGCAACATATACGCAGCATCTCCTAGTAAGTGTACATCACCAGGAAATTTGGCAGCACTCTTTAAATACTCTGCTACTTCGGATTTCATAAAAACCCTTTGGTCATGCACTGCACCAGGATACCCTGCATAGCAGTGTATAAACATTCCTTTTTCATCACAGACACCCTGGAAAATATCTATTATATTGCTTTGTAGCCAAATATGCAACAACCTGTAATTGTATCGAATGTATTCCTTTTCGGTTCACATATGCCTCTGGATGCTCTTTTGGAGCTGTAATTGAGATGTGTGTGCCGTCAATTGCACCGATTACACCTGGAAAACCAGACATATTTTTAAATGCTGCTACACTTGCAGTAATTTTTTCAGTTGTTGGCCACATAATGAAACTGTGTGAATAGTTGTACAAAATTCTAACTACGTTCCTCACACATACTATTGCAGTAGCTTTCCCAACACCGAAACGATCACATACTGATCTAAAATAGGTTAGCATGAGTATATAAATTTATCATATCAACATGTCCAACCTATAAGAATCGGGAGTTCCCAGAACCCATAACGTTATAAGAAGTTGCTTTTCAGCTGGTATCGCAGGTCGTCCTGGTTTTACCGTTCTTTCTCTAATTTTGTCCGCTATTAATTCTAAAATAACTTCAAAGGTTCTCCTTTGCATTCTGTAAATGTAAAAACATCAATAAATCAATAGCTACTTTATACAAAATAAGAATAATGGCACACCAACCGGTTCTGGCTTTTGCTATCGGAGATGTAATTCTCTTACCTAAAATGTGATTGAAATTGTGAATCTCCATATAAGTGTACCACATTTTCCACATAATTTTCAATTCTAGGAGTAGCTTCCTTTCTCTTGTACCGTGTATTTGCGGTAATTGCAAAAAGCTCTTCATCTGAACTACTAGAATCATCTATGATTTCTAATAAATTATTTATTACCACAATTTTTAAAACATTCGTATCCATTTTCATGAATAGAAATAGAAAGTGAATGATGAATGATAGATATTGAAGGTTATGGTAAGATCACAAATGCACAGTTTACTGAAAGCTGGTCTAAATTTCAAAACGTACAAATTGTAATATCAGTAAAAGCAAATAAAAAACCCCTTTACTGCGGTTACGCTGCTAGCTTTGCTGTATTTTTACGTAGTAAGTTTTCGACCGCACCCTTATTTTGGCGAATTAAAGGGTTTGGCCATCTCTCCCGATGGGGCATCTCTCCCGGACTTACCCTATGTGGGAGTAGCAAACCTAATGTTATGAATGCAGTATCAAATTATAACTTAATACCTTTGTAATAATAACTAATCGTGTGATAATAAATTCATACCATTCGGTAGGTATATATATGTATATGTAATGGCTAACGTTGATATGAATAGACGTGTTTTTAGGTGTTGAATTTATTTCGTTCTGTTATCTAGAATAGCACCCCGCTATCCACATTCCAATAGGTTATGGGCACAGAAATACTCGAAATAAGAAGTCATAGGCGTGAGATAAATCAGAAGTAAGCTGTTAGAACAAAGTAAGGTTAGGAAAAAAACGATGGATCCCAAGAGTGATTTGCAATACCTATATGCTGACATCGTCAAATTTTTCAAATTGGAAGTTTCGAGTAAGCGCCATTCTGGACGAAAAGGGTGTGAAGGAGGTTATAATAAAGAAAACTGACATGGAAGAGTTAAGCGAAAACGAGAAGAAAATTTTCCTGAAGAATGATGCCAAAGCGAAGTCTATTATCATTAATAATATGTACCTACCTAATTAAATCTGAAACATGTACTACTTATAATACAGTTACAGTGATTTCTTGTATAAATCGATCGTAATAGAAGGATAATAGAACAAACCTTGAAGGAGTTGAAACGCAGGTCTATTCACACGCACTGAGAAAACAACTTATTTATGAAAAATAAAAATTTGATGTCTCAAACAAATGCTCATTTTGAATACGGCCCAACGAATATTAATTTAAGAAAAGAATAATATTTTTTCAAATAATTGTAATTAATATGTTTGGAATGAGTCCATATAATTTCTCCCTAACGCTTATCAGGCGTCATTAAAACAAAATCAATTATTTACAGTCAATAAATCTTTACTTATAAAGAAAAAATGTTAATTGGTGAAAACTAAAATCTGACTAATCGTAAATTTTCAATTGTTAGATTTATTTATATATAGATTGTTTACCACACTACAATTTGTTAGCCACAATAATATATTACCTTTTGTAGAATATCATTTATTTACCCATAATATTTATTTCTTCTTAACAAATTTGACAGCGAGTAAGCAGAAAATTATATTTATTAATCACAAAATTTCAAAATTGTTGTATTAATGTTAGATAAACAGGTAGGTAGCCAATCAAACTTTACTTATAACACCGTATTTGGTTACCAAGAAAGTTGATTGATTTGTCAAAAATTTTGTTTTGCTTTGGAGAAATAACGGTAGGTTTGATAAACATGAAACAAAATTCTTGTTAAAAATGCATTTATTATTTATAAATATAATATGCACATTAATATTATTACTTATATATTATATAAACACTACTTATAGAAATATATTATACTGAAATTTTATCAGGGTTTATTGAAGGGTTTTGAATAACTAATGTGACCTACATTAACTACTCCTGTTTAAACGCAAGAATTGCTTTATGTCCTCCAGGTAATGTATGAATTTTTGCAGGATATGCATTACTAATTTGAGTTAATTCAATACAAGTTACCTTTTTGTAACTATTGTTCAAGTCTATTTCAAAAGATTTAATATCATTATTTTTGCCGAATATGGCAATATTTTGACAATATAATAGAATATAATCATCCGAACAATAAATTACGTGAAATACTTCTATAAAAATTGGTTCGCCATACGCATCGTTGCCCAATTTTAAAACAATATTGTTGCTATAAAATCTGCCATTGTACAAAATCCACTTTACAATAGAAAATTGTCTATTCAAAAGGATTGGTAAAATTTGTGAATAAACATATCGTTCATTATTAGAGTCGAGCGTTACAGAAGTGCCCACTTCAATAGAATTTTGTAAACCAATTTTAAATATCAACCTGTGACACAGTCTCAATTGATACCGAACAGACAATGTGTGAATAATGTTTCTTCGAGATGTGACTACATGAGCGTTTGTTTTACCTACTTTATGGAATGCCTCAAACCGTATGGAAGAAAGTTTACCCAAAGGGCCCACCGATTTAATACTTCTAGGATAGTGGGTAAGAAAATGATGTTTAGGTTTTAATTTTTCGGTAAACAAAGTACGATACATTGAATGATGATCATTTATTAAAATTGCTAGATAGTTTATTTCTTCAGAGCTTATAATGTCATTCATTATGATATTTATAATGTCAAAAAGGCATAAATAAAACTTCCAATAATCATCTTCCACATCTACAAGATCGCCAACTAATATACTAAAATATATTACAAAAGCATACATTTCGGACGATGACATATGTAAATAACCCTTGTTAACCTGATTTTCCATGATAGGTGGTATTCTGTTACCAATATCAACGCGTTCGTTATAGTCGAAATACTTGATACGTCGATTCAGTTGAATTATAGAAAAATAACGTTTATATTTACATAAACCAAATATTATTTTAGCCATTTCGTATCTACAGATTCCTTCGAAGATGTCGTGCATGACATCACAACACAAATTTGTTGTAGAATGAAAATAAAGTAAATCGTTAAATAAACAATATGATTTAATGCCGAAATCTTTGTTTAGAACATCCAGGGTATAATTGTTAGCATTTCGTGAGAAATCGTTATTTTCACTACACATTTCTTGTGTATCTTCCTTGCAACATCTACAAAACCGACAAAAGTAATTGCCAGAAAAGTTCTCATTTAAACCCAGTACCGAATTTAAACCAAGATTGTCACCTAATATAAGTATCAGAATAAAATGTATTTGTTTACTACCGTTTTCAGTGACAACGGTGATTCCATTACTGTACAAGTATTGCAATTCTTCAACGAAAGGTTTAAATATTGTTTGATTCCCAAACAGATTTCTATCGTCCGAGTAGAATAAGCCCCATAGAAAATGATTTTCTAACCTTGACGCAAATTGTGGAGGAATAGCAGGTATTGAGAAATATACCGCCCCAATTTTATGCACACCTGCATGTGTTCCTAACGGATTTCCACATTCATAGTCATCGAAATACATTATCAGAGGAATAACAATTTTTTTTTGAAAATTAATTTTGACTTTATTCCACAGTTGAGTATTAAATATACTTGATATCCATAAACTGTTTGTTTCCTTGTCTATAAAATCTAATATGGTTTTTAATACGCCGGGTATTTCCAAGAGCTGTTTCAAAACTTTTCTGATTGGAATAAGTAATAAATGAGATTGTTTATATATCATACTAACATCATCACCTTTCTTAGTATCATCCAATATACTACCAATATTAATCGAAATTGGTCTGATAAATGCTCCATTTTCTTCCAAAGATTTAAACCTATTGTATTCAGTAAGCATTTCATCTAATGGATTTATTAATAGACATTCTTTTATTTGACTTAAATTATGTTGCGGGGATGCAGAAAGCAATGGCAATAATCTTACTTGCAAATCCTCCAGGATATTTGATATCAAACAGTGAGTATTTTCAGCAACAAATTGAATTGTTTTCCTTGTGACACTTGAATCATGATATAGTTTAACAAAGAAAGATTGTACAAGATTTTTTATATAATTGTTAGTGCCATTTCTAACTTCCGAATCTGTAATGGTTGATTCTGTATGTTCGGCTTTATGTAACGTTACATCGTGAATGCTATCTGCCTCTGGTTGCAGACAATCTGAGGTAGCCAAGGTTGAATGTGAACAGTGCTGCCGTTTTATATGCTTGCGCAAGCTAGAAATGTTACTGCATTTTTTAGAACATAATGGATACCCACAACAGAAATATTCTTCTAATTTATGAATTTTCATGTGATTGAGGAATAAGTTAGAATGATTGTATTTTTGATTACATTTTTGGCAAGTGAACATTTTCGAACTGTTAAAGGTAATATAGGTACTACGTAGAGGACATAAAGTAATAGATGAAAAATTATAGATTATATAAATATTTCATGTAAAAATGGAAACTTAATAGTAAAAAAAACAAATCCTTATATCTTAAAAAACTAAGTCTCAATTTTAATAAAAAGTAACGACATAAAGTAAGCAAAGGAATACGTATGTAGTTATATTAATTTAAACGCCTACAAAGAAACTCAAACAGAACACTAACGAAATTAAATATTAAAAAACAAATGAAAAAACTTATACCGTAACCTTATTCACAAGGTCAAAGATATTGGGGATGGGCATATCCCATTTGGTCTTAAATTTGTACAATGCCAACTGTATAAATAGCCAACAATGTTCTGCTTCAATAGGGTACTTTAAATGAAAGACGTGATAGCAGCGGAAACAAACATCCACGGCTTTTAGAATCGATGGTACAATATACAAGGTATTATCAACACTTACATATATATGGTTAATAATAGTGCCGGTTCCCTGAACAATTATAAATGGTTGTAGAACTAATCCTTCTTTTAATAATTTTTCTCGCTTTTTTTCAATGGCTGTCTGAATATCTCCTGGTAACTAAAGAATACATTATTTTAAAAAAATCCAAAACACACATGCAACTTACAGCTACGCGTACTACAATTCCGTCTCTACATTCTTGAACTGTTGGCTTCCATTGGTTTTTATTTTTTTTTACATGTCTCGCTCGACAAGGAAGTAGAGAAGCTAACAAGGTTAGCATAAGGTAATCCTGGTAATCTACAACGAAAGAAATGAAAGTATATATTAGCATATCAAGTACAATGTACCTTTATTTACGGCATCGGTCTTTAAGATATCTAATAACAATTGATCGGTTTCATTTAACACATGCTTTCGTATCTCTATAAGTTTTAATAGCACTACATCCCAGTTGTTATAGAACAAGTTTCCTACATCGGGGAACAACTTTTCAAAATCGTGGTCGATCTGAAAATAATACGTTCTTGATCATAGAAAGGCTAAAAACTAATTAATTACCAAAGTATGTCCCAACGGTTGCTTGAGAATTGTCCACTCTTCATATATGTCTGATAGGGTTATGTCTGCCTGCAATTTTTTGTGTCTAACATTAAAAGTGGATTGCCAATGATCGGTTACCGTCGACCATGGTTCTATGTTATGTTTAAGCCAGTTTAGGCTAGCTTGTTCTAAGTCATCCACTATAAAAATAAAAATAATTCAATTTCAGTTCAGATTAGTTAATGGGCACGTTTATAAGACACAACTGTTGTGGAATAGTTACCGATACGTCTTATAATTAGGTACGTCGGACGTCGCTACTTTTGCGCACTTTACGGAGCAGTCGGCCATTTTTAGTAGCACTACATGTCAAAGTAGTGATCGAGACATAAGACCACAACACTGTTGAGTCTTATGAACAAGCCCATTGTCAAATTAATATAGATATTCAAAGTGTCATGAAGCTGTCAATTATGGATTATGTAATACAAAAATATGGATTGTTGAGAAATCCCAGAATCATTATGTTTTGGCAGTGACAGACTGCGCAATAAGTTTATGAATCGAAACTACATAAATAAACTCACCGTTAAGTACAACCCTTTCTTCCTCCTCGTCGTCTACACTAGTTAATCTTGACGGTAGAATTTTTGCCTTTCGTAAAAAAGTCAACTTATTCCGATATTTGTCTACCAACTTTCCTTTTGCAATACCGGGTTTATTATCCCTTGATTGCCTTTTCTTAATGGGTGGTGTGTAGTAAGCTTCTTTCACCTCCTTCGGAAATGTCTCTATGATTTTGTCACAAATAGCGTTGAAGTGAAAATTTGTCAAACGCCTACAAATTTAGCAACTTTAGGTAATTAATTACTAGATGAGAGACGATTAAATTATCAAAATTATGTATTTTTGTGTACTGAATCCAATTCTGAAATGGCCGTATCCACCGACAAATTTAAGCGAAGCTGAGTTAAAGCATTGTAGATAGGACCCTGAACACGCCAATCGCCCCTTCAAATTCGAAGATTGTATCGTAAATTTAAGAGCAAACGAACTCCATTTTAACTCGAGGGTTAACTAGGTCGAAACAGACATAATTAAAAAATCTTGTTTATTTGAAGTATTTTGGCTATGGCGTATTAAAAACTTTTATACAGAATTAATAAGCTGTCATATGCATTTTTGTTATCTGAAAAATGGGATGTTTTTTTAGTTACAAATTTGGAATCAGTAGACACAATTTTGATAACTTAACCTTCTTACTACTTTACAAATAAGAAAGTTAGTAATAGTGCCAACTTAATTTGAAATAGACTCAAAGTGGAGTATTAATATAACATTATAAGACTTACTCAAAATCTCCAGTAAGAAAATATGTAGATATGATATCGACAAGATGACCTTGACAGGTGGCATCAAGACTGCCTTTCAGTTGGTATAAATTTAAAATTGCTCTACCGATGCAGGTAGACTCCAAGAGGGATTTTAGATTGAAATCCTCCACTTTTGAGAGCTTCCTTTTTTTTATGGGACCTTCATCCTCACTCTGAATGTTTGGAGTACTTGAATAACCACTAGCATTTGACAGCAATGTATATGTAGATGAAGATGCTGATGAGCTGGGTATTTGAAAATCATATACAACTGGGGAGTGGGATACCTGTTGGTCCCTTGTAGCCGAGAATCTATAAGTGATTGCTAACATGTTAGCTTAAATTCTTAGTTCACTTACGATATGATATCAGCTCCAGATAACGATATTATACCTTGATTGTCAATGTTGGTTTCATCCAGGGTTTCCTCCTAATATATTAATTCACTAAATTAATTACTTACTTACAAACAGGAAGAGGCATGAACTCACCTCTAACAATTCAGTGTCCTTATATTTCTGTCCAAGATATTCCTCCACTTTCTTCTTGAAAATCAACCGCCTTCCATATTGGGGAATTATATCATTGAGAAAGGTGTCCTGAATTAAAGATGGTAAAATATCCAACGTGATTTGATGTTCTAGAAATTTAATTACAAACACCTGGTCAGTACAAAACTTCTTTGAATAACGCACAACGCGACGCTTTACGATTACGCTTGTGTGGTTAAAACGCGTAGGTAGTTATTGGCAAAAATATCCAGTTTTAATATAACAAGCATTTTCTAATATTAAAAAACATAAGGATGTGGGAAACAATTTTTTTTATAATAACCAAATGTTAAGTTACGGTTAAGCACAGATAACTTTACCACAAATAAATTTATTCCTTGCAAACGTTATTGAAAATTGAAACATGGGAACCGGTCAATGGCGTTGAAAACCTATAAACCTCATCTTTCATTATATTAATGAAAATGAAAATTTATCAACGAGCTATTGTCCAGCCCGAGGTACAGCTTAATACTGCGGTTCTTCATAATAAAAATAATATGCATGCAAAGCTAGAAAATTAAGGAACTTACCTTCAAATTTTTTACACAAATCACTAAATCCCCACAAATGCAGCAGATTTTCTACAGTTTCCACTCTTTCCATTTCGTTTTATTAGTCTTAAACAATCCTCACAGCACTTTCAACTTCCCATGAATAAATAGGCTTTGTGTTAAAGAGTAAGAAGGAACGTAATAAATAATAATTGAGCCGACTCTGAATGATGCAATCATATGCAAGCTAATCCTAATGAATGAAACGCATTAAGAAACAAACTTGCACCTATACAGTTTGCTTGTTGGAAAGAAACAATTTGTTCAGGTTAGTTTGGGTCATACACACAAACAATTTTTAAAAACAATAACATGATTCGTTTTACAAGATACTTTCATTATTAATTTCAATTTCAACAACTTCATTTTTATTAATAAAGCTGTTATTATCTAAAACAACATAATGTTTTAATACAAATAATCAATTGTTCACATATAACAAAGTAATTCTAAAATAGTATTTTGCTACATGTAAAAATATATCAATTATCGCCAAAAAAATTGCTTTAAGAAAACTTTCTTATTGCCGTAATAAAATCGATTAATGTATCATCAATAATGTTTGTTTGAAACCACAAACACTTATTTAAAACAACAATATGACTTCCAAACAAATCAATTTTTTTAGGACCACCAAGTCTTTTTCTCAGTGCGGAAATGCCTTCTGAAGGTCTCGTCCGAATAATTAGATACAGTCTTCTGGACATAATTTTCTATTTTAACAGTTTGATTAACATTCTCAAACTCGTCAGATTCATCATCTGTGGATGTCGACAACAGCTCTGAAGAAGATGTGCTGTCACTCTATAAAATACCATTTCTAATTTGGAAAGGATAGTTTCGTTATACTTACTTCAAATACGTAGTCAAATAGTATTTTATCCATTTTAATAACAACAATAATATAAAAACACGAAAAAAAAACCTTTAATGTTAACCTCAAAAATAAATAAACAAACTAATACAACTGTCAACTGTCAAACTATTTTTCGTCGTTCTATTCAAAGTAGGTATAATCAAATCAGTTCGCTCTATGACCGAAGTGAAAATGAACTGATCTAAATCACGTGAATCGAACACGACTAATATTGTTGCAAATGGAAGACAAATTTTTAATATAGTGCACGCGAGAGCACTCGAAGTAGGCAAATGGAAAACGCTATTAAAGTCGACGCGTTGACGCCCATCTCTGGGCGGAGCCTATGGTCATACCAACATGGACGACACGCCAATAACAATTAATGGCCATATGCACCGTGGTATCATAAACCAAGCTTAATATTTAAGCTCGCTGAAGTTGACAGTATGGTATGCACCGTAGTAAAAAAGGAGCTTAAGCGCCGTTAATATTAAACCTTCATTTTTGGAGGCTTTAGCGTGTTAAGCTGAGCTTTGTTACAAACTAACCTCACTTTTTAAATTATAAAATATAATCTGCTCTTGTAGAAGTCGATTGCGATGGAAGTTGAAGATGAGATTATACTAGACGATGATCATGATTTTCTGGAAATAATTGAGTTTGGATTTCCTCGAAAATTTTACCAAAGACCAAATTTCTTTGAAGAAATGGATGACCTTAATTTCCTGAAGCGATTTCGATTAACTAAACAGGCCACAATGTCAGTTTTAGAACTAATAGAAAATCAGCTGGAGTTTGAGAATGATTTGTAAGTGACTGTTTTAAGCACTATACGAGTTATAGTGTATGGGCCAGCATTATGGCACTTTTTTATCAAAATAATCATAGGGCGCTTATTATTAATTATGTTGTAGGAATAACAGTGTATCACCAATCAATCAGCTGCTAACCACGCTTTTATTCTATGCAAGTAGCAGTCATCAAATAAACGTTGGTGATTACATGTGTATGAACCAAAGCACCGTTTCTCGTATTGTGAAAAAAGTATCACAACAAATTGCTGCTCTGCGAAATCAATTCATACAAATGCCTACGACTCCTGAGGGAATAATTTCTACCCAAAACAAGTTTTATAGAGTAGCACGTTTCCCTCGGGTAATAGGATGCCTAGACGGAACACACGTTAAAATTCGATCTCCAGGTTAACTTATAAAAATTTTATAACAGACCTAAACTATAACATTGCAGGAGGGGAGGATAGTGAAGTCTACAGAAACCGCAAGTCATATTTTTCAATAAATGTGCAACTTGTGTGTGATAGTGACTTAAAAATTAGTAACATTGTGGCCAGATGGCCCGGTTCGGCACATGATGCTACTATTTTTAACAATAGTCGCTTAAAGACACTATTTGAAGCTGGACACTTTAGATCTGCTATTATGCTTGGTAATTGCTGTTAATATTAAATACATCATAATGTACTTCTAATTAGCTGGCAGAAAGTAATGTAATCTTTACTTTAGGCGATAGTGGATATGGCTTAAAGCAATATTTACTAACACCACTTTTAAATCCAATAACTCGACCACAACAATTATATAACGAATCCCATATTCGTACCCGCAATTGCATAGAAAGGACAAATGGTGTGTGGAAAAGAAGATTCCCAGTGTTGTGTTATGGGCTTCGATGTGAGATGGAAACTGGCTTAACAATAATTGTGGCTACAGCAGTTTTGCATAATATTGCAATTAATATGCGTGACGATGTTCCACCACCTCCAAATGACATCAATGCAGAAGAATTGGATTATTTAATTGCACAAGGACAGATTCCTGTTATAAATGTAAATGAAAATATTAATTATGATTTTAGGACAGACCTGATAAATAATCATTTTGCAAACTTATAATATTAAAGGTATAGTTATAAAAAACGAAATTGTTATTTATTACCACATGTAACATATTATTCTACATATTTTTCATTTGCTATTTGAATATGCAGTAACTCAATTTCCAATTCACGTTTCTTAAGAACAAGTTCATTTTCTGCATGTAAATGTTTAATTTGTGCATCTACTAAGCTTAGTCTTTTGTCGAGTAACAGATTGTACTTTTTTGCTATCTCAGATGATGTAAGTGTCTTGACTACTGTTGTTGGTCTTCTTCTGTTTGCATTCTTTGGAGTGTTAACCTACAAAACGTTGCAATTAAAAGTCATCATACGATTAAAAAAATTGTTACCTTGTTGGGTGCTGGGGCATTATCAGGTTCCGGTATATTTTCTTTCTCTTCTGAGAAACGTAGAATTGCACTTGTAGGGCATTGTAGCTGTTTTGGAACATACTTTTTCCAATTCATTGTTGGGACTGGCATTTGGATAGCGTTAATGGAACTCTAAAATTTGATTCAATCAGATACATTTTTGTCCAGTACAAATTGTAACCACTACTATCGATATACACACAATTAAGTTACTGGTTTAGTTAGGTCTATGTAACCGTTCCTACTAACTATTACTGATAAAAACTTACCTGTGCTTCCACATTAACAGTATCCGCTACACAGTTTTCGGTAGTTGCAACTTCGCATGGGTATGCCTCTAATTCAAGAACAACTTCCTCATTACCTTCAATGTGGGGTATCTCCGTTTCATCTGCATCATCATCAAATGGATTTTTAAGACCCAACAAAGTTTTCTCATTTAAAATGGCCATTAAAATGTCATCCATCAGTGTATCGTCCCCATCTTTCTTCTTCTTTGGCGGTGGACCGCCACCAGTTAATAATGCTTCTCTTTTATTAGTAGCTAAAGTTTTCCGGAGCTCTTTTTTTCGGTTTTCATAGCATTTCTTGAGGCTCAGTGCATTTCTGTATGTGGTGCAGGTAGATGAAGCATTAAACTCGGCTTCTATTTCGTCCCACGCCTTTTCTTTTTGTCCCGTTGAAACGCGATCAGTCTTCTTGTCCTCTAGGATCTTGTAATATTTTTGAGATATAATCGTTAAAAGATGAAGCTTCTCTGTACTGGAAAAGTTGGGCACTCGAACTTTTGCGTTGCTCATATTTGTATAGTTTTAACAAAGACGTGAAATCTGTACAATACTACAATCACAATTCACAATGTTATTTGAGGTTATAACATGTCAAACAACTGAGTAGACGAAGTGCATTGTGGGTTAAAAATGCTACGTTGCCAAACATATTCACGGTTTACCAAAACTCGGTTTAGTTTGGTACGGTGCATTACCAAAAATTATGTATAGCGCTTAACTACTTAAGCGAGCTTACGTAAGCGCAGTTTAAATAAAAAACGGTGCATATGGCCATAACACTTGGAAATACTTAATCGTCAGGCACCAATTAACTAATAATAGCTGCCAGCTACTGACAATACCTAGATGACATTTGTGTCACACCAATAGGCATTTACGAAAATTAAACCGGGCTCAACCGGTTGCTTTAAAAGCGTTCGAAAATATAAATATATGTAGCAAACCACATTCGATAATTTAGCGGTTGACTAAACCGGTTTAACAGATCCTGGACCTACCTTTCGAATCGGTAGATGCGGTTGATATGTCAACATAACCTAAAAATGGAAAATCAAGTGTTGCAGCCCATTGTAGATGAAAACAATAGACCCGTGTTATCAAGCGATGGTACACTGAAAAAAAATGATCAAAGTCCTCGTGTGAGATCGAAGGGACTTCAGCGCATTTTTGTGTGGCAGATCAGTGTTTTATTAGCCAATATTGACGCCACCATTAATAAGATCTTGCCGAAAGCTACCACGTTCACTTTGTCGGTACCATTTTCTCACTTACCGTGCACTTGCAATTCGCGTTTGAAGTTTTGACTCCACCATCAGTAAAATCCTTTGGGGGTTACCATATTCCCTTTGTCGACACCCACTTCTGATCACCCGCAACAATTCGGATTTGAAGTTTCGACTCCACCATCAGTAAGATCTCGTCGGGGGTTACCACATTCCCTTTGTCGATACACAGTTCCGACGTCCCGTTCATTCGTAATTCACATTTTGGTAGATTTCGCTAAAATCCCGGCATAAAATCGTATTCAACTTTTGGGTACTTCACATAGCTCGACCTTCTATTAGTGACACGAGAAAGAGAGACCGCGATTCGCGCTGTAAGAAACTTTTGGGCGCCCAAAGTCGACTACCCCTCGAAGCGCGCCGCGCAAAAGGTGGTTTATTTCGCCCCTAGGAAAAAAAACAAAATTCCGCCACGCAGGAGTTGTGCGCGTTGACAAGATCTTCCCGACGACACCAATTTGAAAACAATCGGAGAAAAACTGTAGAAGAAGGTAGATAAAAACTGAAAAATCTCCAGGTTAGTATAATACGCTCGGGGATGGCGTCCAGATGTCGTCGACTCCAAATCTTGTAGCCCCATCCCTAACGTTCTTAATTACACGGCCCCGATAGTTACATGTACACTCCTTGTCTTTTTACAAGCGTTTTTCTACGGGCGCGCATTTACTGCCAGCCAGCCAGCCGACCAGCCAGCCAGCCAGCTAGCCAGCCAGCCAAAGTGAGATTAAAAGCTACTTTTTACAAAAAAAAATTTTTGCAAAAATGCGCTAAAAATAGGTACCCTTAAAGCAAAGTCACCGGTTCTCTTGATTACAAATTATTACAAGCAAGAGAAATAATCTGTCAAGAATAGATTTTTTTTTGCTACAAATGAAATGTCCTTGATTAAAAAAAAACCCTTTCTCTTGAAATTGACCCTAGGCTCTCTTGAACGTTAATTACTAATAACAAATGCCATGGGTTTTTGTTCAAAACTGCTGAAGTGTTTGTATATTTCAGCAATTTAAACAAAATCTGTGTTTCTTTATTCAAGTAACAAGATCTTGTATGTTGTGAATATTCTGAGAATTCTCTCCCATGCTCGAAACTTGCAACTACCGCACATTGCAATCCGTATTACGTATGTATTCATATTCACATGCAACGTGTTAGCTGCCCTTGCTCTTACTTTATTTTATTACTTTTTATAGCTACTAATGCTACTATAGTATTATTACGCGCATTTTTAAAGCCGAAAGTGATTTTTTTCATTTATTGACACTGACGTGTATGTTATATCAGTGCGGTATGGAAAATGTAAAAATCTTTTTAAGTAAATGGAAATTAATCCATTTATTTAACGTTTTTGAAGGTAAGTTACTCTGCACTTGTCTTTATACTTAGGTCATGTGTAGGTATATGTACTTTGTTGATGATATTTATGTAGATTTGTTACGTATCTTTGATGCATGTCCTGTTATTTGTATTATTTATAACTATTTAAAATGGCCACGTCTTTTCCTTTGGCAACGAAAAAGAGGTACGCTGACCGTATCACATCTCTCAAGCTAAGCTCTTGGTATCTTCAGGCAAAAGATTTAAATTAATCCAAGACGTTCAACTCTCCCTTTAAAATAAAATGCCCCTGTGTCAAGTAATGCCGCTTTTATATAAAATGTATATACTTTTGGATGGAAACTATCGTTTTTCTTTCTTAGATGTTGAGTTTTTCATGCTAATTTTTTCAATAGGACTTGTAGTTACCTAAATGATTCATAATTTGGAAGGAATGTTGGTCATTTAATCAACCGATTTTATTTTTTTAATCGGTGCATTAGCTACAAAGAAATCGAGATTTAAAACCGGTTTAAACTTCCGAATCGAATAATACCTATGTGTATACAGGGTGCCCAATATGTATGGAAAATAGTATATATCTCGGTAAATACCCATTTTATAGAAACATTTTCGATAAAAAAGTTGTTTAATATTTTACTTCCCGTAATGAAACATTATTCAGTTATTTTTATTTCAGAAAACAATTGAGTTTTTTTTAAATAGCAATGTAGGTACTTCTTTATTAGGCTTATTTGAGAGAGATTTCTTTTCTCTTTTCTATGACGTAACATGTTAGCTTCGCTATGCAAGAAAATTTTCCAAAAAATTAAAAAACTTAAGTATAATAAGGTACATTAATAACACTAATAGATATCCTACATAAAAATGAAACAAATTAATGTGTACGTATCTTATTAAACCTTAAAGACCAAACTAAATTAATTTCTTATACTATCAAGAGTGGTAAAATTTTACGTTATTGAAAGGAGAAAAATAATCTATCAAATGAGCCTAATGAAAGGGTATATAGCTATTTAAAAAAATTATAAGTGCAGATATTCGTTATCATTTGTTTACTAAAATTAAAAAAATATTCTTTTAATGGAAAATAAAGTGTTAAACAACTTTTATATACACATTTTTTAGTTAGTCGATAATTACCGAGACATATACTATATTCCATACATAATGGGCACCCTGTATATTGATTTACATATTCAGATTTTATAAAAGATTTACATAAAAACATGGTTAGTTTATATCAGTTTAGAAGCTTGTAGAGAAGGGATGGAATGGCCTTTTGGCTTTTTATTGATGTCCCTAAATAAAGATTATGGTCGTTGTCTCTTGTTAGAGCTCAGGTATAACCTGGTTAACTAATCGCACGGAATAAAATCAAGTAACGATTAGTATCTGTCTGTATGTCCTTCGTCTATAGTCAAATCCGGTCCTATTTTTTTTTAATTTATTATTATTATTGTGATACATTTGTTCTTGGATTTTATTAAATTTAGAATTTTTTAGAGCAGAATATTGACGACCCTTTGTTAATAAAACACTTGACTAACGACCAAATCCGATTATTGGCTCCTAATATTGGAGATCAAATTAAGCTGCAACAAGGAATCAAAAGCCTTAGCTCAGATCAGGTCGAGGATCAGGTAATAAAAACTGTGAGAACGTGTAATTGTACCTATTTTTGTTGTCGACAAGTAAACGAAAGGAAACTATTTGTCATGTCATGTGGCATTTTTAATTCTATTCATTTGTGGAAGTTAGCCATACGCTTCCTTTGATTTTAAGCTAAATAGTTCCGTACCGTAACACGCACCGCGCATGCGAAACGTCTATATTTGAATTCTCCACTACAATTTCGCAATGTGAACTCGGTTTAATCATGATTGGCAGTGGTTAGGATAGTACTTGGTTTGCACCCAGGCAGTTCGGGTTCGATTTTTTGTACACAATCAATTTTTTATCTTTTTTTAAAAAATGCGTACCACGAGGCGTACCCAATTCAGCGAGATTGGCTGCTAGGTTTAAGATAATCTTCTCAAATTTTTTGAAAAACAAAGTTTTATACAAAAAAAAACTGCAGGCATGCTCAGTGTATGGGAGGTATGGGGCCATTCAGACAATCGTTTTCTTTTGTGAGGCATTGTCGCCAACATAAATTCCTACATTGAATTTATGATTTTTTATAGAATGATGAACCACCAGAAAAGAAACAAAGAGTGGAATTGCATGACGAAAGTTATGACACAACACTCACAGACAACATTCCTATCATATTTTTGGAAAATAATTTTGAAGCACTTGCTAGGCCGTCTACTTCAAACGCAGTAGAGGCCATTTACGATACAATTAGCCAGACGTCAGACACAGTCACTGTCACAGACACATCGACAGCTTCCTCTTGCACTGTGTATGAGAGAAAATCAGATATTCAAATGTCAGCCCTCAATAACTTTGATCTTGAAAAATTTTTAAAAAACGATATTTTGGGGGAGGCACTGCTTGTCAAAGGAACCAAACTAAATGCTTTCAACAACGGAGACCGGGACCGACTATGTGAACTGCTTATAAAACATCTTCTAAATGAGCACAAAAAACTCAGTACACTGATAAAACAGATTTGGAAATTTACAATAAAATTATTGCTTTTCGGTGACCAAGAAAATTGATGTAAAATCGCAAGCATTCAGTAAACGAGTACATTTACAATTTATATGTAACTACGGATTTACAATTTCTTTGTAAAAAAGCCATTATTTTGTAACAAAATTTCACAATATATTTGTGATTTTAAAATTTAAAATACATATGTTACATTGAAAATTTACTTTTTTTTGTAAAATTTCATGTTATTCTATTATAGTATATTTACCAAGTTTTGGCATTTTACATAGCGATGCACGTTTTTTACATTGTAACTGTACCATTACATTTTTGTAAATTTCTACGGGGTAAGTAAAAGTAAAACCACTATCTAACATAATAGAAACTTGTATTATATGTTGCAACGTAACGCATAATTCAAAAATACAAAAAATCCAATAAACAAAACTACTATTCAGTACACAGTTCGAAAAAATAATACTATTTCAGTAAATAGTGAAGATTATATATATTATTAAATAAAGATATGTCATTCTAAATGTCTCTTAATTTATTTAGAAGCGCAAAAACTTTGCGCTTAGACGAGTTACTTTTTTTTGATTTAGTACCATCGTCAGGGTGGATTTTTAAAAAGTATCGTTGAATCGTTTCCATGACGCAGGAAATTTCCTTTGGATACTGTAAATTTAGTAGAAAATACAGCCCAACTAGACTTTGCACTGCCTCCTCAATCGATTCAACTTCAATTGCCTGCTCCTTTTCCAAAACAATGAACAGCTTTCTTTGAACTCCCGAATCTGTATTTAAAAATTATTGTGTTAGAAGCTTTAAATAGTACATATGACTAATTTATTTGAGGTCCTTTAAACGTTGTATATTATACAAGATATTCAAAACTGATTTAGCGCAGTTCGATTTTTAAAACTTTTATTTATAAATGCAGCAGAAATGAGTATTGCTACCTTGTATAAATTGGAAACATACAAGTAAATAAAGAATGATATGTGGCATTTTTCAGAAAAAAAAACATAAAAGATTGTATCTTTTTAAACACAAACATTGTCAGTAGATACTGTACACCCTACCACGTGTCATTCTATATTTTGGACATCCATAATACCAAATTAAGAATTTTGAAAACTCTTACCTACATCCACAATACACGGCGAAAGAAATGATATATCATGATCCAGATCTGGGTCTTTCTATAACAAAAATAATTCATGGTACCTTTTATGTTCATACTCGAATACTACACCTACCTCAACTTTTAGGTAAATTTTTTCAAGATCTTCCTTATATAAGTTGCACAAAATTTCCAACGTATCTAATACTTTGTTGTTATTTTTGGGAATTTTGAAATTTCTTTGAGAAGCATATTTTGAAATATTTTCAAACTTTTCTGCCATAACATCAGATAACGTCTTTAGGTTTGCCTTGGTTAAATTATGAAAATGCCAATAAATTGCTGGAATTTGGAACAAAATAGGCCATTCTTCTTTTATTTTATGCACGGTGGGAGGATCTTCACTGTTGATAAAGTTTCTTTGGTCTGTATAAGTTCTGTTCATTAATTCATAAAATTCGTCATTATATTGCTGTTTTTTTCCTAATTCTAACAATTTAGATTTATAGTCCTCATCGTGTTGATCGTCATTTATTACATCTGGAGGGTTCCAGTTGGAACAACCCGCAGTGGAATTTTTAATTTTCTTAGATTTTGAAGATATTTGGTTAGAAGACAATCGCTTGTGTGGCCTATTTAAGTAATGGATTCTTTCATGGAGTTTTGTAAAAATGCTGCTACATCCATCTCCTAATGTTACCCCATCGTCATCGACATCTTTAAATACATTTGGGTATTTTGTTATTATTTTATTGGCCACAATTCTAATGGATTTGCTTGATGGTAGAGACTTTATAGCCATCATTTCGTTTGCAACCATATGCACAATCTCTGTTATTATTCGTTTATCACGCACTCCCTTCTCGCATACATTAATTACATTAACAGATAACTTATTCCATGGAATTTCGAAGCTAGTCCACATATATTCCATATTGTTGTCTACATGAAGTATACGTGCATTTACAATGTTGATGTTTTCTTTTTCGTCATAATTGCCATCTGCACCTGCAGTAACGGAATCTATCAGAGAAACCGTACTGGCCAGAGACACAGTACTGGCTAGTGATGTAGCTCCAGAAATGCAATCCGTATCGGTCCACTCTTCACCCGTTTGCAATAGAATTAGAATTTGTTCTTTTACCAACATAAGGATGTCATCTTCGTCCACTATGGTTCCGTCACTCTCCAATACTAGCTTCACTCCATCTATTTCAAGTTTTTGGGAAGCTGAAACAATTATGCCATTACAAACAACGCGGGACAGTAACGACCATACTAACCTTTTAACACCAGTTCAACATAAACGTTTTCCTCTGGAACACAAACCAAAACTTTTCGAGTACGTGTCCTATTCCATACTTTGAATAGATGCATCTAAACAGTATGTTAAATATTATTAGAAACTGCTGTACGTATGTGAAATATTGATTAACATTTTTAGGTAAAGTAATATCTTTTAATTGAATAGGTGCATTATTTTTAACAGTGAAGAATGATTTTTTGATAAGTAACAGTACCTACTAATTAATTGATTGCAAATATGTAATATAGTAAGTCACAAAGTTAGGAGAAACAATAAAGGCGAAACTTTCCGCTGCATATAACGGAACTGATTTTGCCTCTTCTTTCATTTTTTTTTTCATTTCGTCAGTATGATATACCGCAATTATTTACGCTTTCTAAAATTAATAGCAAAAAGTAATGCAAAATTTTAGAAATCTGGAATTTAATACATCAACACCATACTCTTATCTTTCCAATATAAAAACCCTCAACTCAATATCTCGCTGAAAAGTGACAAAAATGTGAAATAAAATGAGATAAATTAAATCAGTGCCGTTACACAGCGGAAAGCCTCGCCTTAATGCAAAAAAATTGATTGCAGTATGTATAACGTAAAAAAATTGATACTTTTGGTTAAAATCGAAAAATTAACATTTAAAATACTTTAAACTTCTTTGTAAAATGTAATCTTTATACTACATACGGAGTTGACTTAAAACTATAAAGAATAGTTTTTGTCGTACTTAAATACTGTAAAAGTGGTTCATGACATAATAAACTGTTAAATTTAACGAAAATGTTAATTTCGGTTTCATCGGCAAATTGGTAAAACAAATCATTGTAATAATTACAAAATATTTTTGTCTTTTGACCTACAAAATAAATATCGTCATATTCTTTGGTTATTAAAATGAACTGGATTTTACACAATAGAAAGTATCCAAATGCGTCTATATCATAGCAAACTACTTGACCGGTTTTGTAAATGGTACCTCTAAAAGTAACATAGTTTGATATGAGAATGTCAATATTTCCAATGTTAGTTGTAATTAGATTCTTCATTTCATACGATACTTCACACTCGCCTAGTATATGAGCATCATCTGACAATACACTGTCATTAAATAACAAATTTTGGGTTGCATTCAGTGCTTGAAACAACTGATGCTTATTTGATAGTGAAAATAATATGTTCTTATAATTCTTACTATGTCGTATGGCATTTTTAAAGTACTGGTGTTTTGCCTCAAATCTTAAGGTCCATAAGTGCCTTAGTGGTCCAAATTGTCGTGTTAAATAAGGATAGTGAGACATAAAGTGATGTTTTGGTTTTAATGAAACGTTGGGAAACAAAGTTTGGCGATCTTCCAAATACTCAGTAATTAAAGTTTTTAACAGAGCTACTTGATTAAGAGAAATTTTAAAACTTAACAGCAGCAAACAAATTCTTCGTAAACATAATATTAATTTCCATATTGCAGAGACATGGAGGTTATCATCGTCATGAAATACAAAAGGGAATAACAACAAAAGCATCATATTTTGTGATGCATTACCAGGAAGTTTGTCACCTTTGCTCAATAAAGGAAAAGTGTATTTTTTCTCAAACAGAAAATGCAGTTTGCTCACTTTAATGTTAAGTTCATCGTAAGAAAACAATTTGTTAGAAACACATTGGTTAATTGCCAACATCAAATCCCTTTGTACTACACCTTCAAACATGTCATGAGCAATGCAAGGCGGTAGTCCAGGATTACACACGTGATAATAATTTAAGTCGTTTAACACAGAATTGTGTTTAATTCCTTTAGAAGGCTCTGCTTCAAAATTTGCCATGTTAACATCGAATTCGTACAATGACTTTGTTCGGTAAACTATACACTGAAAGAAATCGTGACGTGTGATTCAAATGAAAAGTTCATTAGAGCTGAATTTAGTAGAACAAAATGAAATTTGTTAAGGCAAAGCGAATCACTTTGTGAAGCGTAATAATTATTTGTTACATGTTACTGAACGTTTCTTGTAGACGTCTATATTGTTGACAGTACGTTAAGGTTTGCTTTATCTACAATGCCGTTATTACCAGTAGCAAACTAAAAATTAAAGGTACACTTTTGTGGAACCTAATGGTGTACCTATAGAGACAACAAGAGCATTAGGTTGACTTTGCAAATAGAGCGGTACACCTTATTAAATTGTCTTTTTACCTAACATGGAATGTTAGCTTGGCACAGCGAAATTAGTTAACTAGCCCTCAATGATTTTCTGTTTGAAACGTGCAAATACATTTCACTGAAGTTTTGTTGGAGGCACCCAAATTAATTATCCACGAAGTCTTTTGTCAAGGCTACCGAAGGGAGCGGTACTAGTTATCAAACAACGCATATGATACCAAAATATTTTGCTGCGTCTATACATCTACAAAACAATTAGGTACCTATTCATTTAGGGATCCGGTGTCGAACTGATCTCGTCATTTGCAATTTTGCATTTATTGCAGAAGTGTTCTTGTTCAGTGCAGTGTTGTTGTGAAAATACGAGTGGTACTAATGGCGGATCAAGACACTGCAGATTTTCTTAGTGCTTGGAATTTGAGTGAATACATTCCAATATTCAGGGGTAAGTACCTTTTTACTAATTTATTAATGAGGTGTAGCAGCAAAGCAAAGCTTATCATTTCATTTTCGACGCAAAAGTTGCTTGAGTGTGACTATCTATCCTATCTGCGATGACTCACAGTGGACGGACTGTCATGTAGAAGTAGATTTCCGAAGCATGTATTATTACCTACATATAATGTTCAGTGTTTGGTTCTATTATACAGGGTGTTATGTTAGGGAAGTTGACCGAAAGATTTTTAGGGTAGTATTAGGGCGCAAAATGAAATCAACAATGTTTTATATTAATTAAGCAATATATATTATACAGGGTGATTTCTAAAAAAGACCATTGGATTGCGTTCTTATTTATCGTACGGTTTAAAAAGAGGCACACGTAACTGAATGGCTCATGACAGCACAGGCAACGGATTTTTTCAAATTAGACCTATTTTAGCATGTTTTGATAGGTATTTTCATTTTGGAACTGGCAATGTATCACAATTCTGCTTTTACTTCAGACATGTTCGAAAAAACAAAACAAAAATGAGACTTTTGGTTCTAGAAATTGATCGTTATCCATGAAACAGACGATAGTTGCCAATTGCAAGATGAACAATTGCCTTTTCTGGTAGTATATTGCTATCCCAATTTCTTCTCGATCTTATGTAATATTTACGTCACTAAGAACTTTGGATTTTTTTCAGAAACATTTCTGCAATAAATACCTATACAAAAATAATTTATGATATACCTATTGTCAGATTCAGAATGAAAATGCTATTCCGTCATAAACGGTTTTGAGGCATGACAGCCTATTTTGTAGCCCATTTGAAACCATCCAATGGAGTGTCATAAGAGCGGTACTGTCTGATCTTTTTTTTAATAAATCACCCCATATTTTTAATGTGTCCAAATTTTCTACCTTTGTTATTCCATTTTCACCAGATAATGGGGTGGATCTTAATTGCCTTGGGATTCTAAGCGAGGATATGATGAAGGAATTAGTACCTTTGATTGGACCACGAGCAAGACTAAAATCCAATATCGAGCAATGGAAGACCTTGTTTCCGGGCTACAACGTTAACAAAGCTGTAAGGTTCCTCTTTCAAATGGAATTATTGTTATCATATTTTTTTCTTCTTGCCAGATATTATGAACTTCGCCTTGACCCTGACAAACCTTTAATTCGTGTATCATGGGCCACTGCGACAGGAGCCGAATACAAAGTAAACACGGTTGTAACAGTTGATGTAACCGACACTGGCAGTTACAGGTTTGGCGTTGTTAAGGACATATTCCTCTATTTTAACGAACATGTAATTTTGGAGTGTGGTATGCTTTCGACGGTAGATTTCAATGAACATGTTTTTGCTTACGAAGTCAGAGATTCACAAATCGAGGAATTACAGATAAAATACTATAGGCTGGAGTCCCTCGTTTCCCCTGTTCCAAATTGTTTAAACATTACGTCTGACAGTTGTAAGTACGTAACCGTTAGAAGTCCTTTGTAAAGTATTGTATTGTTTTCCGTTATATCTTTTGTTTAGTCTTTTGTTTAGTGTATCGTAAGAAAATTGTTTGTTTACTTACTGCTTGTAATAAATATATACTTCACCTAACAACGGTGTTTGTTTATTTAACTCCTTACTTAACTTGTAATAATCTTCAAGTTTGATTTCGATGTGTAATTGCGTCTTATTTTGCAGATCCGAATGCACTTTTTGATCTTATTCAGACAGATCTCGCCAAGACTGCTTAGGGTTTTAAGGTGATCAAGTAATAGAATCACTTTTGCCAACTGGATCGCATAAAAAAATGAAATATTTCCCACCATGAGAGCGGCCTGAAATGCTGCAACTGCTAGGGTCGCATCAGGAAAGGCAGTGATGCTACTATTGCAGTTACGGCATTTAAGACTGTTCTCATCGTGTGAAATATTTATTTCTTGGATGCTCTGGTATATAGTACGAGTACTGTACAGTACAGAAATTACTGTAATGCATGCTATCCTAATACTGTTGCACTTACCACAAAGTATAGTACAGGCTAGATCGTTTTCACTACCACCTACCGAGTAATTTAGTAGTGACCACAAACTATGCAATAGCATACACTAAAATAGTTCGGTATAGGTTACAGACGTCATTTTCACATAACAAGATGATCGATAAAAGTAACAAAAGGTTTAGTGAAACTAAATAAATTGACTTGTCGGTATATCAAAATACTTTCATTACAATTAACAACCCGGTACTGTGAGGTCCGGTAAATGCAACCAAACATTTGATTTTCCCTTAAACATCGTTATTTATGTCTAACCAATGCAGGGATTTTCGCCTGTAATAAACTCTGATTAGACATAAATTCTATAAGTAACCGGAATAGCCTTGTATTCACAACTAAACCTTCGGCTGTCACTATATCTACAGTATTTTCTTGTAGAGCATACTTGAATTCATTGGTCCTTACGGTAAATTTCTTTCCGTGTAGGTTTATTAGAATGAGCATAGCTAAAATCGCAGTATCGACAGAAATAACCCGATGTGCTAAAATTTTCGACAAACCCACCAACTTGATGACTGCCTAAGTTGTCTCCGATCACTGATAATAAGGAACCTTTTATATTAATTCGTTTATTGTCAACTTCTACTTCGACGCCTGTAACTTCTATAAACTTCAAATCTTCCAATAATACAGTTAGCACTTTATGAAAACCTAACATTTTAATAGTTTTTTCGTACACCAGTCCAATTAATTGAATATGACCCACTTTTGACCAATGCCTACTGGGTATATTATTAACTGTAAAGTATATTCCAACTACTTTATGCTTTTTTCTGGATGAACCTAAAGGGTTACAAATTTCGAAAGCGTCTTGGTAAAGAATTAATTGCAAGGCATGGGGATTATTCTCGTAAAATAAGTTATTCTTAAAAGAAATACCATCACATATATTTGAGAAATCCTCAACATTGCTTTCTGGTGAAAAATATGCTTTACAAAAATTTTTTGTTTTAAACAACATTTCTATCGTTTTTATAATCGGGACGTAATAAAACTTAGAACCACCTTCTAAATTAATACACTTTGGCGAAATGTAATTAAAATAGTTTTGATAGTATTTATTTCTTATGAATTTAGATCTTAGTTCACCATGTACGGCGTTATGAACTTTGTCAAACAAATTGTTTTCTAGAATGGCTTTATCGATTACAACATTGTTAGTTTTTAACTTTTCAATTATGTAATCATTATTTAATTTATTGAGGTCAGTTATACCATCGATAACTATTTGCATTGATTTATTTGTCATAAAGTATTTTGATTCCATTGTCAGATATAATGAACTGATTAACTTGAGGCTTAGCTCTTCATAATTATTGTTAGGTTGACCTTCACCTACTACGACAGGATTATAATCTTCATCTGAATCCAAATTGTTAATTACTTCGACGTCCCCGACGTCATTTATATCACAAAGCGTGTCTTTGTTTCTTACAAAAGAACCTTTCAAACTTTTAAAATGAATTCTACGCATATGTTGTGACAAATTATTCACCTTTGTAAACACTGTCTCAGTTTTACAGGAATCAAACAAAGGGCATTTCAAAGGAATGCTATTTTTAATGTGACTATATGCATGCTTACACAATTCATTTGTATTAGTGGTTTTAAATACACACACAGTGCATGAAACAGAAGCAAGCATCATCGTCGAATTATAATTAAATTTATGATTTTGGAGGATATGTTTTTGAAAGTGTCTGTAATTTGAGAAGTTTAAATTGCAGTTGTTTTTCAAGCATTTGAATGTTGCACCATGTGTGTTTCGATGATAGCTTAAGTGAACATTATATTTGCTCAATGTTTTTAAATTGAAACCACAAATGGTGCACTTAAATATCATTGTAACTTATACCTAGCTTATAACTACAATGGGTTAAATATAGGTATACTTTCCTTTTTATGTTTACACACCAACTCCAACACGAGCACCAGCACCACTAACGCACAGATAGAAGTAAAACGGTAATGGCGAACGCGCACAAGCACAAATTACTTACTCAATGCATAAAAATCCCGTGTCGACTATAAATTATTCTATTGGTTAAAATTTACATGATATTTGTAAAATTACTATTTCATTGAAATTTTCCCACTTTCTCTTTGAAAATTACAACCTATTTGAGTATACTATGTGTTTTTTTGAAATTTTACAATCCATCTTTGTAAATGTTTTACAGAATTGAAAAATAACAAATTAAATTTACAACCATTTTGCTATTCCTACAATCCGAATCAGAAAAATGCAAGAAATGTGTAAATTTCCCAGTATTATTGTCGTTATAAAATTTACAATCAATATTAAGGTAAATTACGTTAATTTCATTGTAATCTCTAAGTAAATTTACAGCAATTTTTTTCAGTGTATAGAAGATTTCGCAATATTATCAAAAAAAATTACAAATGTTTTTCCAAGAGAACAGGCTGCCACTTATTATGTGGCACCCATTCCAAAAAAAATGTCAGGTAATAAAATACATGAAAAAGCTCGGGGTAAGCTGGTCGACAAGCAAAGGAACTTGCTGTATATGGTAAAAAAACTTAAAAGCCCTAAAACAAACGAGATAGAAGCAGACGAATCCTATCATCAAGGTATATAGTAGAGTAATGTCACAATTCTTGTAAAGTTCAAACGTGATTTTTAGAAGTAATTGATCAGGAGGCAAAAGACAGTGAAATTTGGTTGCGACGAAACACCCAGCCGCAATGCGAAGTGTTACAACACTGGAAGCAATCCTATCTTGCTAGAAGAAATACGCAATTTCAAACTATTGCGCAATTTTTGGAACAGTGGCCAATTTTAAGATCTCCAATTGCCCCTGATCTGGTAAGTTCTTTACCTTGTCCACATTAGATCAACGAATTGCACGTATATTTTTTTAAATTGTATTAGTATGTTGAGGAATAGCGATTGATTTTGTTATGTTCGTGTATCCGTCTGTAAGTCCCGTCATTCTGCTAGATAACTGTAAGGGAATTTTTGAGATTTGTTTTCTGCAACAGACAGTTATGGACTAAATCCCAGACGAGTTCGTTAATCATTCAAATCGTTTGTGAGATTAACGGGAACTCGGTATACTATGGTTACCTACACATGCTTACAGGGGTTTAAATTACATTTCTTCTTTAAAAAAACTGTTGTTACGAGTTAGTTAGTCATACTATGCTTTTAATTTTCAGATTAATTATGACTTCGCGCAAGTGCACAAAGTTCCCGAGAATTTTGACCTACAGACTGAATTTCAAAATTTGTTTGAGGCTGTACTAACGCAGAGAAAATCATCGTTAAGTCCTGCTGATAATACTATTTTGCAGCTGCTAGATACCGATGATATAACTTCTGGTAAGCATGGACGATTGATATAGCTACTTTTTTTTGTAAGAGGTACAATAATTTGATTGAACAACAACTGAATCGATTTGCAAATCAATTTTAAAAAGACGTTTACCGGTTTACGGTATATTTGATTGCGTATTTTTGTTATAGATTCACGAAGAGCGATCCAACTGTATTTGCTGGCATCACTAGTGCCTCCAAAAGGGAGAACCAAAGTAAAGAAGCTTCACTGGAAGCCCTCTATTACTGAAGCAAGGGAAGGTGTTTTCGTGCATGTTTTAACACCAGGCGACATTGAACAGGCAAAAAAACAAAAAATTAATTCAATGTACTCTAAAGGTCTCACTGTGCAGCCTTATTTTATAATCATTGGACCAAGCCTTAATAACATTTCCCAAACTCTTGTTATAATTAATCAAAATACATATCAATGCAATTCCATTCTTGAAGCATTGGACTTCTGTTTTAAATCGTACATTGTTTTGGATGCAAAATATCCATTTCAATCGCAGCACTTATGGTATCTAATCCAGTGGATTGTTTATAAATATAGAGCAGCGACAGATCCAAAAATACTTTTTATCAATGATCTCGTAAATTCGTAAATAATAGTACATATTACGTTTTTGCTCTTAGTTTTGACTGATTTGTATAGCATGTTAAAACGGAACTATATTTGGTATTAATGCGAACCCAAGGCACAATAATGGAATCTTCACAAGGATATATATGCTTTAAATGTAAAGAAAATTTTTTTTCCCATAAAAACCTAATCAAACACATAAAAATATCTCATTTTTTTTTGACTGAGTACCGTTGTGAACAATTATACTGTTTCCGGTCTTACAAAGATCTGAATGGCTTGCGAAAACATTTTCAATCTCAACATGATAATCTTCCAGTGGAAAGTCTTTCAAAGAACACACAAGCTGTCAGTAAGACAACAAATATCTCAAGTGTGACTGATCATTTATCTGATTTAGCTAATTTTCATTCAGGTAGTTCAGAAACTACTTCTACTTCTGTACCAGCAGCTCCCCAAAATTATGATTTAAATAATGAAACAAATATTAGATCTTTTATTACTAACTATATGTGTACTCTTTATAGTAATACCTCAGTAAATAGAAGTGTTGTGCAATTCGTAATTGAAAACACAAAAATATTAATTGACAAAATTCTCACACACATTTTTGAAAATTTCTCAGAAGCCAATGTTACTACAGCAAAAGAAAATCTACGTTATACAATAAAAAATATTCTTTGTCTTTTCGAAACTACAAATTCTGAACATCAGAGACTGAAACTTTTAGAAAAATGTGAATCCTTTATTAAACCCTTTCCATTTACTATAGGAATCACAACTTGTTTGAATAGAATTGATACTTCAGAGGAAGCAACATTATCGGTTCGCGAAGCACGCGGACAAAAAGTGTGTATTCGTACGGTTCTCAAAAAATTCTTAGAATTACCAAATGTTTTAAACAAAATAGATTACTTTGTTCAATCACAGGAAGAAATTTCTTCTGAAATAGTTAGTATATTCCAAGGAGAGCTGTGGAAGTCTTTAAAGTCACGTTTCATAAACAAGAAGGTATTTCCTATTTATATATTTTTTGATGATTTTGAACCAATTAATCCATTAGGCTCTAGAGCTGGCATTTACAAAATAGGAGGTGTGTATCTATCCTTAGCTTGTATCCCTTTTGAATTCGCTTCCTTAATTGAAAATATTTTCTTAGTTCAATTATTTTATTCCAGTGATAGGGCTAGACATGGAAATAAAAAAATATTTGAAAGTCTCATTGACGATTTAATTTTTTTGGAACGTGAAGGAATTTACGTGGATAGACCTGACGGCATACAGGAAAAAATTTATTTCACTCTATTTCTTATATTGGGTGATAATTTAGGCTTAAACAGCATATTGGGATTTAATGAAAGTTTCAATTCCGATCATTTTTGCAGAATATGTTTAGCCACAAAGCAAATGTCGCAGGTAGAAGTCGATCAATTAAAATTTATTTTGCGAAGCAAAGAAACTTATAATTCTCATAGCACTAATTTTTCACATGGGGTAAAAGAATCCTGCATTTGGAATGTATTACCAAATTTTCACGTAACAAACAATATTTGCTGTGATATGATGCACGATGTTCTGGAGGGTATTCTAAGGTACGATATGGCTTTCGTTATCAATTCGCTTATTAGAAAAAAATATTTTAGTCTTGATCATTTAAATGAACGAATAAAATTTTTTAAGTTTTCTAAGGCAGATGCAGGTAATCCTATGCCTCAAATTAAGTCGGACCATTTAAAGAAAAACCATATAGTGATGAGTGCATCTGAAATACTTTCCTTAACAGTATATTTTAGTTTTCTTGTGGGGGATTTAGTGCCCCCAGAAGATGAAATATGGATATTTTATATTATAACGGTACAAATTTTAGAAATGATGTTAAATAGGGTGTTCACCACTCAATCTATAGCATACTTAAGTATTTTAATTGAGGAACATCATACAATGTTTATTGAACTATTTAAACAACACTTGAGACCTAAGTACCACATACTGTTGCATTATCCTTCGGTTATTAGAATGATTGGCCCTCCCCGACACTACTGGTCAATGAGGTTTGAAGGATTTCACAAGCTTTTAAAAAGTACAGCTAACAATACAGCCAGTCGCAAGAATTTGTTGGTTACTTTGAGTATCAAACAACAGTTAAGATTATCTTCTAGATTGGCCAACAAAAAGGGATTAGAGTGTGAAAAGAGATGTGGACCATGTAGTACTGTGAACACAAGTCATACTTTTAAAAACAAATTTAGCAATAAAGCTGTTTCTGTGCCTTGGGTAAACATTAACCATGTTTTGTTTAAGAAGGGTTTCTTTCTCAGTATTAGTGACGATAGTGATGAGACTGATGGTTTAGTTACTTTTGGCAAAATAATAGATATTATTATTGAATCAGAGTCTATATTTTTTTTATTGTCAATTTATGTTACTGTTGGATTTAGCACTCATTTTCAAGCTTATGAGGTATCGAAACTAAGTAAGAACACATTAATAATTCATCCTTTTCAGTCTTTGCAAAATAACAATGTTTATAACAATCGTGTATTGGGCGACGGTCGTAGTTTTATTTCTATGATAAAATAAAAGCATAACTAAATTAATTACCAATTAATATATTAGTTGGCCTAAAATATTTGTGTACATTTTGCGAGAGTCCACTACATTAAGTACAAATTTTCATTTCTGTTTCGTAGATTGTGCAATTGCTTATTTTAATTACCTTCAGTTTATTTTTTAAAAAGGCTGTTGATTGGAGTTACCTTAGACTGTGTGATTTTTTTTTTATTTGTTTAGGGTGAGATAATACCTAAAACCATGTAAGATAAATTAGGTTGTTTTATTCTTTATGAGAATTATTTTATTGATTTTTGTTGCTATAGTAAGTTAGCTTTTATTATAAACATTATATTATTTACTTATTATTAAAACAAATAAATTTTTTCATTCATAGTGGTCCGCTTCTTATTTATCAATATGGGATGGCAATGCATAGCCTAGGGTAATACAATAGGGAATAATTTTGAAAAACGTCTGTGTAATTTTAGTTATAAAAAATTTTTGCCGCTACAATTATTACGTACCTATGAGCAGCAGGTGTCCTGAAATAAACATTTTAACTTTGAAACCGCTAGAAAAGAGAAACATTTAAGATAGAGAGTTCTAAATGAATTCGTAATTGTTTTTGGATCCAATAAAAATTACTTTTCAATCAAGAACAGAAACTTTTTGATAAATAAATACATGACTGAAATCAAAATCTGGGTACTGTTATTTCAAAAATCATATGATTTTAAACGAAAAGCAGGAGCTTTTGGCTGAATCGGTAAATGTTTCTTCAACTAAAACCATTTACTATTGGACAAAGAAAAGCTTATACTGTAGGTAAGTTCTAACACGTTTACAATAAGTGCTGTTGCTTTTTTGGTAAATGAAAAAGTTCTTCTGCCAAAAAACAAGTTTATTGAATCAAAAACGTTTATCTCGAAGAAAGTTATTTAGCTGCTTGCACCAGGAAATATTTCATATATGGTTTTTGGGATAAGATTGTTAACCATTGAGAGAATGAAAAATTTACTTCGTTGTAGTGAAATGTTTCTTCAAGCAAAAGCATTTACTATTCGGCAAAGAAAGAATTATACTGTATGTAAGTTCTAACACTTTACAATAAGTGATGTTGCTTTTCTGGTAAATAACAACGTTCTTGAGCCAAAAATCGAGTTTCTTAAATCAAAAACGTGAATCTTCAAGAAAGTTATTCAGTTGTTTGCACCAAGAAATATTTCGTATATAGGTTTTGGGGTAAGATTGTTAACCATTAAAAGAATGAAAAATTCACTTGCTTGCACTAATTTTAGTAAACTTATACAAAGAAGGTTGATGCTTTGTACCAAGAAACATTGCTCTTGGACCTATTCAAAAGCTCCAGTTTTTTTAGTCAAAGCCATAATCATTTCGTTTAAGAGTTTCTTTTTTTCAGTGTAGTATTTACGTGTTCAATAGATTGGGTAAGATGGGTCGACAATTTAAATTTGTTGAATAAAATAGGTATACTTGTACTTATTACCAACAGGGAATTATGCTTGTTATATGGACAATACTACCGAAAACAGAGAATTGTTAAACATATCTTATGAAGAATCGCAGTTCAGTGTGGAAACGGAGGTGCAGGAAAATTCTGCAACTGCTACTATACATCAGAGGGTAACTTCTATTTTTTGTTAAAAAATGTGATGGGTAATACCTAATGTTACAGAACCAGAGCCACGTTGGACGAATGAAGCGATTCTCCTATTAATAACTTTGTATGAGGAAAATCTACAGTTATTCAAATCAGCTAAGTGTACAAATAAGTCTGTATGGACGAAAATTTCAAAACAAATGGGTGTGAAAGGTCATTTGTTTACTTGTGAACAAATTGATAATAAATTCAGAAACTTAAAAAAAACCTACAAACGCATAAGAGACAATAATGGGAGAACAGGTGCAGGAGCTATTAAATGGCCATATTTTGATCAATTCGAAAATATATTTGGGACATCGGCAGAAGCTAGTCCTCTTGCTGTTGTCAGTAACATGAATGAAGCCGGGCCATCTTCGCCAGCTTCATTTAGGGTACGGTGGGCTAAGAGTACGCGTCGGTTAAGAGTACGAATCAAAATTTAATAACCTATAATTAGTTTATATTACCGGCCAGTACAACCAATGTTTGCTTTGTGATAACGTCTATCCCGGGTAAAAATATTAGTTTTATATTGTGAAAACGGTAGCTGCTGTGGTAAGTTTATTATTCCTTAGTGTTTTGATGTAATTTTTGTTACTTTTTATTTGAAAGAAATTGATATTTACAGTAAAATAACAGTTTCTTCCATTTCTTAGGTTATGTTGCTATTTCAATAGGTATACATGTTGTGGCCAATCATAGCGCGTTGATTAACGCGGGAGTTTCAAATAATTAAATTATTTTTGCATGCCATGTCGGCTAAGAGTCCGCACCAGTGCGCATCCAAAGAGTGCGCAGTTTGAGAATGCGTACTCTTGGACGACTAGTAATTTATACGTATTTCTTTCTAGTTTTAAATGGGTAAATACAAAAGGAAAAGTGAAAGAAAACTAGTTTTCACCGAAAATATTCTACAATCTATTAGAGAGAGGATTGCCAACGGAGAAAGTAAGCGGCATATCGCAGAGACCTTGGGAATACCGGAGTCAACTCTCCGAAAACGACTAAAATGTGGGACAGTTCCTAAATCCCTTGGCAGATTTACTGCAGTATTTAGCGCAGAACAGGAAAAAGAACTGGCTAACCACATCCGCAAATTAGATTCTATGTTTTATGGCATTTCACAAAAACAATTACAATTTGCTGCATATGTGTATGCTGAAAGAAAACAACTTCATCACCGTTTTAACAAAAGTAAAAAAATGGCAGGAAAAGACTGGATTATAGCCTTCAAGAAGCGTCACGGACTTACACTTAGGCAACCTGAAAAAACTAGTCTTGCCAGGGCGGCGGGTTTTAACAAAGTGCAAGTCGGGAGATTTTTTGACAATCTTAAAAGTTTAATTACAACCCATAAATTTGAACGAGCTCAAATTTATAACATGGATGAAACCGGGCTTCTCACGGTTCCGAATAAAATGCCTAAAGTACTAACTAGCAAAGGGAAGAAATCTGTTGGAAAAATTGTTTCCGCGGAAAGAGGTGGGTGAACTATTTCTTTTAAAGTCAATAATATTACCATTAAAAACTTTTTTTTATTGCAGGTACTTTAGTTACAGCTGTGTGCTGTGTCAGTGCAGCAGGTCATTATATACCTCCCGCATTAATCTTTCCAAGAAAAAGAGAGAAACAAGAACTGCTTGATGGCGCTCCTGCAGGATCGATATTGATGGTATCAGATTCCGGCTTTATTAATACCGATTTATTCCTAAAGTGGCTTAAGCACTTCAAATCATCTGCCAAAGCTTCACTAGAATCAAATCATGTTTTGCTAACTCTCGATAATCATAGTTCACATATAAGCTTGGAAGCAATTTTGTTCTGCAGAGAAAACGGGATACATCTACTGAGCCTTCCGCCGCATAGCAGCCATAAGCTGCAGCCTTTGGATGTTTGCTTTTTTCAGCCACTGAAAACTAGCTACAGTGTTGAAGTTGACAAATGGCATGTCAATCATCCAGGAAGACCCATTACGATTTACCAGGTGTCGTCATTATTTGGCGCTGCATATAATCGAATTGCCAACTTAGAAAAAGCACATAAAGCATTTTCATGTACTGGCATTTACCCCTTCAACCCTGAGGTATTTTCTGAAGAGGACTTCATGGGAGCAACAGTAACCGAACGTCCAATCAATGAGACCTTCAATGAAGTAGTGGATCCTAATGATGCAGTGTCACCTGCAGTTTCATCAGCAATATCACCAGATAAACAGATAAATATTATTGAAAATGTTTCCATATCATTTGAAGATTCAGAAATAAGAAATATGTTGCTTAGTGCAAAACCAAATTATCCTGTTGTTTTAGCATCTGCTAACAATCCGGATATTGCTATTTCCTGTCAAGAAAATACTGAACTTAATACAAATGGTGAAATAGAACCTGACAGTGTAGTTCATGCAGAAGATGGAAACGAAAACAAAGGTGGTAATGATGAAAATAGTTGTAGAGCAATAGAGATTGAAAAAGCAGTTGAGGAAGATCAGATAGAAAAAATTATTCCAATCCCAAAATGCAATAGAGAAAAGAAAGCAAGTAAAGGAAAAAAATCAGAGATATTAACTAGCACACCATATAAAGAAGAGGTCGAAAACTGCAACGAAAAACGAGTTGCCAGAAAGATTCCCAAAACAACAAAAAGGAAAATTTTGTGCGAAGAAACTGAAAATAAGAACAAGCCGAAAAACACAAAGACTGCAAAGAATAATAAAGAAAACCCAAAAAGTAACTCATCAAAAAGCAAAAGTCAAAAAAAGAACAATGAGAATTCCACAAACAAAAACCAAGTTGAGGAAGATGCTGGAATTTGTCCAGGCTGTGGCGATACCTATTCTGACCCACCTGAATTAGATCTGATTCAGTGTACCCTTTGTTTAGAATGGTGGCACGAAGTTTGTACAGCGTATACAACTGGTGAATTTCAGTGCGATGTGTGTTTATAAGCATGCGTACTCTTAACAGGCTGGTGTGCGCACTCTTTGACCAACAAGTGGTCTAAGAGTGCGCATTTGCATCATTTTTTAAAATTATTTCTTGATAAGAATTTATAGATTTTAGTTGACTTTTCCTTTGTTTATTTGTAAGCCAAAACTGTAAATAATATTTTTACAAAATTTTTTTGACTTTTTATACCCTACACTGAGAGAAAGAAATATTACATATTACCTTAATAGAGTAATTGTTAAACAATTCTAGATTGAAAATCCGACCTAATAAACTTTGATTAACAATAACTCTACAATTTAGGTATTACAAAATATTTTGTTAATAATAAATACCTAGCATTAGTAAGAATTCCTGCCGTATTATTAAATAATCTTAAATTATTTATAAATATTCTTTTTTTTTCATAATCCACGTTAATATCAATGTTTGCGACTTTATTGTTAATCAACCTTTTTTGTAATTAAGAAAATGCAGTAATCCTCAACATACTATATTATGATTTTACAATAAATAAAAATAATAGATAATCAAATTGCTTATAGATTTTTCTTTTACGTATTATTTATTAACATCAGTGGTTTATCAGAAAAATATTTTAATTTATTATTAATTAATAAAAGAATATTTATTATCAATATTTTGTTTACCATTGAATACCGGCCAGAAGGATATTTCAGCATAAAGATACAAATAAATGTTCTTATTAAAATATTTATTTGTCTATAGTATCAAAATATATATAAACATACATATAAAATAAAGAAAAATAAATTCACACATAACAAAAAATAAAGACGCAGATTGCAAAGTACATTGAAATAGTATATATCTAAATATTTAGGTAATCTATATCATAAAAAATGACACGTATACAAATAAAGAAAAATAAATTCACATACCTATAACAAAAAAATAAGTTAATCCTATTAACACTTCAAACTGTTTCTTTTAAACAGTGCTCATATTACTCAGAAATGTCAAACCATTGCCAGCAATGTGAGTTCGTAATGAACAAAGTGTATCATTAATGTTAATACAAAACTTTTTGTTGGTATGCTTAATAACAAGGTAACTAGCAAAATGTTCCATGTATCCAGTTTCAACATCACTGTATATAAACCAAACAGTGCCATTTTCACAAAATATAATGTTGTCTATTTTCCCAAATTCCGGTTCTATTCCATCACTGTTGTGTAAGGGCAGTTGCATATAGTGATTTGGCTTAAAAATGATTCCCTTTTTTTTAATCCACTTTATAACACTGCAGTTTTGAGAGAAACGCTTTTTTAGGGTAAGTCGGGGGGAGATGGCCATAGTTTTATATCGTGCATGAAAATTTCACTAGAAACTGCAATAAAGAACCGCTCTTGCATGGATATACTTCCTAAAGTATCGGCAATCTACATCCTGAGGTAAAAAGACTTTATTTAAAAAAAATGATTAAAATAAAAATCAAAAACGAAAACAATGCAATTGGCCATCTCTCCCCAACCTATCGGGTAAGATGGCCATACTACTAGGGGAAATATGGCCAGGGTACAAACGACAACGTAAGGTAAGTATTTATTGGTGCTAAAATGAAACATGAAATCATCATTAATTAATTCAAAAAATAAACAGTAAAAACCAGTAGGTAAGGAATAGTTTTGCCCTCTAGGGTTTTTCGCGGTATGCCGAATGTCATGGAAGCCTGTCTGACGGAGGAATTGTTCTGGTTCACAGCTTCGATAGCAAGTATCAAATCATTTTGGCTCCAATTGCCACGGCATCGAACGTGCTTCGGGGTATACGTTCTTGGCATCTACGAAGAACAAAAATAATGCAATTAACTACATGGCCACCACACCCAGAGAAAACATGGCCATCTATCCCTTTTGTCTGGGAGAGATGGCCATAGCAGGTTTGCAGCGACATAACTACAGCACCAACCGGAACTATAGGTTAGGATCATCTCTAAAGTTTCTACTTCCACAAAAAAAATACCTGCAGCATGAAACTAACATGTATCATATGCTATCATATAATGTTTTGTATGTGGTTGAAAAATATTCAAGCCAATGAAACAATCAAAGTTATTTTATACTTACATTGAACAATCGTGGTGCGTAATACACATGCTACACAGCAAACTGATGCCACTAGGATCTATATTACAGCACCAGCAACGCCATCGATCGTTAAACATTGGAATTATTTGAGTGGGCCATCTTCCCCATATGGCCATCTTCCCCCGACTTACCCTATCGAATCAGGTAGCTCTATTTGGTTGATCTTACAAATAAACGGTCCCAAAATGGGCAAATCTTCTAAACCATCGTTCATAACTAGTCTGTGCGATAAAATCAATTGATGTTTTAAAGCAAGAGTATATGTAATATTAAGTCGTGAGGTAACAACATGAGCATTATCTTTTGCAATTTTATGAAATGCCTCAAAACGTATAGATGAAACATATTTTAAACAACCTACAAGCGCAATTGTGGATGGATAATGGACTAAAAAGTGAAATTTAGGTGGCAGAGTACCTACAATCAAAAAGACGAATGTATAGTTGGTTAAAATTTGATATAATACTTTTTAAATAGAAAACTTCCTCAGATCTTAGTGATCTTTTTGTGACAATGTGAACAATAGTAAAAAGAAGGTGAAAAAAATACCAAACCTGATCCGAATCATCGATTAAATCCCCAACAATTAAAGGGAAGTAAGAAATAAAAGCCTGCATTTCAGAGGACGACATAATTATAGCCCCCTTTTCTAGATGCTTTAAATTAACAGGTGGAATTCTATTACCAATATCGATTTCACAGTCATAATCAAAGTATTTGATTCTGTCATTTAGTCGATAAATTGTAAAATATTTTTTGCTAAAAATGAAATCGTTAAGAATTTTTGCCATTGAGTATCTGCACACTCCTTCAAAAAGATCGTGCATAATATCACATGAAACGTTAATAGAGCAATGAAAATATGACAATTGATTGAAAATACAGATTTCTTTAACACCTTCATAATTAACACAATAGTTCTCAGGGTTTCGTAAAAGAAATGGATCTTCTAAATGCATTGTTTGAGTTAAGTTTTTATCAGCTCTGCATATTCGACAAAAATATGAAGAATTGAAGCTGGTATTGAAACCCAAAACAGAATTCATTCCTAGATTGTCGCCTAATATTAAAGGTGCTATAAAAAAGATTTGCTTTCGTTCATTATTTTCCAATATGATTTCAATACCTTCTTGTTCCAAAAATAATAATTCTTGGACAATAGGTTGGAAAGATGCATCATTGCATTTTTCTCTGTCGGTGCTATGAAATAATGCAAATAAAAATATATTTTCTAATTTTGCTGAAAACTGTGGTGGTATACAAGGTAATGAATAGTAAACAGCTCCTATTATATGGACACCTGCATGACTTCCAAGTGGATTGCAAGATTCATAGTCGTCAAAATATATAAATATTGGAAAAGTAAGGCCTTTATTTTTATACACATTGTCGCTTGTAATTTTTTTTCCATAAACTACCAGTTAAAATTGATTCGTAATTATGACAACTGTGTTGCAGATCCATGTAGCAAACCATTTCTTTATACATATTTGGAAGCTCCAAAATTTTTTTCAAAACGTGTCTAATCGGAATATACTGCCCTTGACAAGACTTATTGAACCCAAAACTACCTGATGTATCATCACAAATTTCACGTATATGGTAAGGAATAGGTTTTATTAAATACTCTTGATTTTCAAGATACTGGAAGCGTTTGTATTCAGTTTGAAATAATTGCATTGAACTATTATTCATTGACAAATTTTCCAAAATTTCATTTTGTACAACTTCATCCAAGTTTGTAATGAGAGGTTTTATTTGGTCTCGATTATTTTGCATGACTTGAGTTAACAACTCAAAGCTATCTTCCACAACTGTCTGTACAATAGAACGGGTGAGAACTGATTTGCTATATAATTTTGAGATAAACTGCAAATAATAATGAAAAATGTTGTCATTTGTATTTAAATTTAAAGGATTTTCATTTACTTCTATGATTGAAGACTCTGCACACCTTTCATCAATATTGACATCAACATTTGTAGTAGAAATTTCCAATTTATTGTTATTAGGGTGATAATTTTTTGATTCACAAACCATAATGTGTCTCCGCAATGATGATAAAGAACTGAATTTTCTTTCACAAACGATATTACCACAAGTCCATTCGCTACAATGCTTATGAAATGCTAATGAATGGTTTAAAAACATTTGTTTGCTAGTTACCCTTTTATTACAATGAGCGCACTGCATATTTATTAAAATATATCAACAAAAGAAGTTGCGGTCTAATTTCTTACTTTATTCTAAGAATAACTTTGTTTGCTAAATCTATAATACCCGGAGAATTATCGAACTCAGTATTTAGTTGGTAAATGGCCCTTTGTATAAATAACCAAATATGCTCGCACTCTGAGGGATAATTTAGCATTAATGCATGAAAAATTGTAAAGCATATATCAATTGCTTTCAAAATATTAGGCGCCTGGTATAAAGCAGTTTGAAAACTTACAAAAATACTCTTTATATTTTCGTAGTTTGACCCTTCGAAAATTATGAAAGGTAAGGCACTGTTGTGTTGTCGATTTTCTGCTACGCCTGCAATATCACCTGCAACCTGAAATATGCAAAATTTTAGAGTACGAATAAAAAATTGTACCTGACTCACCTTTACATGAACAATAAGGCTGCGTAGAATTTCTTGCGGTGATAGATGTGCTCTACTTCTCTTTGTGTTTTGTTTTGCAGGTAAAAGAGAGCATAACAATGTTAACATCAAATAGTGTTTTTAATCTAAAACACGAAACTGAGTAAAGGCGTCAACAATGTTCAACTTTACCAGTGGAAGTTCCTGATGAATTAATAATTTCCAAAAGCATCAAGTCACTTGTATTTAAATGCTTGAACTTCAAGGATTTTAAATGTGCAAAAGCTTGTTCGAAATTGTTATACATCTTCATTACTTTTAGGGGGTCCATGTAGTAGATGAATTCTTGTACCGATCAATCCATGTAGTAGATGAATTCTTGTACCGGTCAATCCATGTAGTAGATGAATCCTTGTATGTAAATGAATTTGCATCTTGCGAATATTCCGGAGTACGAACACCTGTTGATTGCCGGCAGCTATCCGGCGTACCACCGAGTAGATAAGCGCTAACACCTAAACGATACCGGGAGCGACCAGCTGATGGTGGAATTTTCGGAAGATACGATCTTTTACACAACCTTTTTTGTTATTTGCTTCAATACCATTAATCTAGTGTAACCTTCCGACGATTTATGATCGGAGCTTTGTATTTTGTTCGCATCAAGTGTTTGAGGTCGTGACTCTCTTCAAGAGCAACGCACCTGTATTTAACGTATGGGTAAACGAGCCGGCTACGAGTAAGCTATTTTTGGCCCTTCCGGCTCATATAATCGTTCCGAGCGTTGTAGCTTGGGGTTTGTTTTTGTGTTACAGAACTGGAACTTCGAAGGAGAGCTCTTTTTCGGAGAAGACAGCGTATGTGTTATTCAAGGTAAGATTTTTAATTTACTTGTACCCAGTGTTGCCTATATGAGTTGTTATTCGGGTTAACTTAATTCAATCTTTGAATCATTGAAATTTTAACTACATTTTTGCTCGATCATTGTTGTAGGGGTCTGGTAACGTAATTATTAAGGAAGGGTTCATGAATTTATTTGGGGATTATTTTTGTCATTTAAAGTATTTGTTATTGTCGTATTGAAGATACATTTTATTTGCCGATCCTGCACCGTTTTGTCAGGATTAATAAATCAGAATTGCTCAACATTATTAGGGTATTTAACTTTAAAGTCTGAATACATCTAAAAAATAACGTTTATTACTTTTGTAGTATAAAACAAACTTGTGAACTAATTATATGCTTACCAATAAATGTCCTTTAGAATTCAAAATAATTGGAAATGTTGTTAAAATCGCATTCAAGTCAGCTTTTGCATTCGTAACCAGTTCCTGACGATATTCACAACATTTTTGCCAGTTCTCTACAATTTGGTCCCAGGGTTCAATATTGTTTTTCAGAAAATTAATTTCCGATGTACAATCCTCGTAACCACCTAGAATGCCATACATTTTCAAGTTAGGTATAGGTTTGACAATAAAATAATTTGAAAAAACTAACCTGCTGCAGCTTTACAAGAAGACTTTCTTCTCGTCTTTGATGAAGGCAACAAATTAGCTCGCCTTAAAAAAGTTAATTTGTTCTTATACTTGTCAACAAGTTTTCCACGGGCAGTGGAAGAAGTGTTGTCTCTTGAATTTCTCTTGCAAACAGGAGCAATGTAGTAAACTTCTTTATTTTCGTTAGGAAATAACGAAACAATTTCATTTGAAATATAATTGAAGTGTTCATTCGCTAATCGACTACAATGAAACATTTAAAAAAAAACAGGAAAAAAATTAATATTGCATACAAAATGGGTTCCAAGTTCAAGAAAAAAGATACTATAATGTGACATAAATAGGACTGACAAGCAGAATCTAATTCCCCTTCTTTTAGATAAATGGACTGAATTGCTCGTCCAATCGCTTCTTTATCCAAAAGATTTTTTAATCCCTGATACTCTTTTGGAAGAGTTACTACTTCAAAAGTTCTTCGTGGACCATCATTAGGTAGGGGATGTATTATGGTCGATTTTTCATAATTTTCACAAATTGGAATTGAATCACTTCTACAAACAATCATTTACGTATACCCAGCAGTGCCAGTGCCTGTAACAACTTTTGAACCTACCGTGCTGATGATGATACTTGAATATTACTGGCATCTGAGAAATCTGATGCATCAGTAAGTATTATAACGGGTGCCGTTTCAGGTGTTAATTTTAGATTTGCATCATGCTGACCTTTCTCGATTGTTGCATAAGTCAAGTTCTCTTCACTAAAACTGGGTACAAAACTGAAAGAGTTCAAAAAATGTGATTAATATACTAAAACCTACATCTGTACAATACTTTGTGGATCATTTTCAAGTTCACTCTGTTTCAATTCCTGCTTCAGCTTAGATTTTATTTTTAAGCGATCCCCTAACATGGGGCAAATATATTTAAAAGATTCTTCATCACCTGCTAGTTCTTTCAATGTTGGCCAATCATCAATTCCATTTTCTTGAATAAGAATGAAAATTTAATAATTCACCCATCTGATTAGGGATAACGTAA